CCCCTGTTTTAACAAGAAGTAGGCAATGTATACACAATATCCAAACTGTCAAATGCCCATGTTAATGCCTATGTACCCCCCACAGTTCATGCAGTACTCGCAAATACCGACAAATAATCCACAAAATTTTCCGCCTCAAATGAACAATATTCACCAAGCTCAGCCTCAACAGAATTTCCAACAGTCGGTAACACAAGTGGCGCAGCCACCAATCAATAGTGAAAACAATCATAGACCCACTACTGATTTTACTGGGTTCATGCACAGTTTTGATAGAATGTCTCTGTCGTGGGCTTTAGACAAAATACCGGATTTGAAAGGTCCTGAAGGTGTCGATCAGATTAAGACATTCTTCAAAAAATTCGATTCTGCAACTGAAGGGATATCAGATGTTGTGCGATTAAAAGCTTTAGAATCTAAAATCAGCGGAAGGGCGGAAAGAGCTTTTAATACAGCATTAGGAAATTCCCCGTTCATCTATTCATCCGTTCGACGTGAAATGCTTCGTATTCTCGAAACAACAGACACAAAAGAAATTTGTGCTTTCGACGAACTTGTGTCTGGAGTTAAAAGGCGAGAAAACGAAAATATCGATTCACTAGCCAATAGAATTGCATCTTTAGTAAAACGAGCTTACCCAGGGATGACAAATAATTTGTTGGATGAGTATTCAATAAAACATCTAATAAGAAGTATTGGTGACTCAAACCTTGCACTTAATCTCGAAATAGCTCGACATGACGGAATGAGTTTCGACAGTTTCGTATCTCTGGCAGCTAGAGCTGAATCGACGCAAAAAGCAACCCGCCACATTAATTTCCAATCTAAACCTCCTGTTCAGCAATTTTCGCAACGTAATAATAATTTTACCCCTCGAAACAAAATTACCTGCTTTAACTGTGGAAAGCCAGGACACCTCTCACGCGATTGCTTCTCTAGTCGAAATAATCAATATATGTCGAAAGACAACGTGGCATCTGCTACTGGAGCTAATAGAACATTTCTGAATGCTAAAAACAACATTAATGAGTCAACTAGAAACACAGCAGTCTGGCGAGGAAATGGCCAAACCAGAGCACTTCCGCCGTCAAGCAATCAACTTAAAAACGGTTGCATAACTATTCATGACGAAATCCCGAAAAATCACGTCAACTCTTGTGGGATAAACATTTTAGAAATTAAAGAAGAGCTTAAGAAAATTCCAGAACAAGAAGCAAAGGCAGAGATAATAAAGAACTCCATAGGTCCCGTCATGTCAATCAAAGTTAAAGTAAAAGGATTACCTGCGACAGGAATGCTAGATGGAGGAGCACAAATTTCGTTAATAAGTTCAAGTTTTCTTCTGAAAATGCTTAAAGACAAAGGAATTGAATTAAAGAACATTGGATTTTCGAGAGCAAAAACTAAGATTTCTGATGTTAATGGACAAAAGCTTGAATGCCATGGAATTGTTGAGCTAGAAATAAAGCGTGAAAACCAAGAAGAAATTAAAACTTGTTTTCACATAACAGATGCTCCATTTGGCTATGACTTATTATTCGGCACAAATTCATTAGGCAAACTTGGCTTTAAATTATTAGACGTTCCAAATAGTGATTTAATTGATTTTGGAAACGAAAATGGAGATCAAAACACGGATGCAGTTAGAATCATTTATAGAACACGGATCCAAACATTAAGTGTTGAATTTGATGATGTAGGATCCACAAGAGAAGAACTCAATATGTTTGAAGATAAAGTTGGAATTGGTAAAAAGGAAGAGAACGAAGAGTTGAATAAAATTAAGGAGAATAAAGTTGACAAAGATGTAAATGAAGATGAAAAGAAAGTTGAATTTGGGGAAAAAAGAAGTGTTTGTGTAAAAGAATTGTCTAGAGATGGAAAAGCTAAGACTGCCAATAAAAATAGTGGAATATTGAACAGCAACGTTCTTCGAATTAATAGTGAAGAAAAACAAGAATTTGATCGAAAAAGGTCAATTTTTGTAGGAAATCTCCCATATAAAACATTAGACGAATCAGTTAAAGCATATTTTTCTAAATGTGGCAAAATTACTGGCGTTCGTTTACTTCGAAATAAACAAACGGGACTTTGCAAAGGAGTTTGTTACCTCGAATTTATTGATCCAGCTTCAATTAAGAGGGCGTTTGAATTAAATGAATTGTCCTTTGAAGGAAGAAAAGTGAGAATTTCCAGAATTTATGAAAAGAAAAAGCTAGCAAAGATGAGAGACAAAAATGAAAATCTAAACTTGAAACCGCCCAATTTGATAAAAGGAAGTGAAAAATGTTTGAAACCAAAGGGAGAATTTAAAAGAAAAACTCTTGAAACAATTCCGAGGACGTAATTATCTAAATACGAGGAGGGGAGAGTTGGTAAGGTTAAGAACCGGTCATTTAAAGCCGATAAACAAATTGAAACTTTGAAGGCAACCCAAAGGCCAAAAATTCAGGAACTAGGCGTTCAGAATGTTAAATCGAAAATGGTTGGTCAGAGAAATGAAGTAAGCGGAAGGAACTCAATGAGAAATGATTTAACGGGGAACGGTCTAGGTGACCAAACCCTTAGAAGCCGTTGGAATGGCAAGGAAAATCGAAGGGAGCGCGATCTAGGCGATCAAACCCCTAGAAGCCGCTGGCATGGGAATGAGAATCGAAGGGGGCGAGGTCTAGGCGACCGAACCCCGAGGCGTTCTGTCTTCGAGAGAATTAGACGTTATGATGGAAGCCGATCGCGAGACTGTTTGTGAACCACACCCTTTCGTAGCCGATTCAAAGCCGAGGGACTCGTCTTTTTAGAAGGTGGAGATGTGGTAACGCACAGACTCAAATGACTTTAAATTTGATTTAAATAAATAAATGACATTGTATCCCTTTTTATGTTCTATTTAAGGAAATTCATTTCTCCCAAATTCCGTTCATTTGTTAAATTTTGTTCTTTAAGGTCGTTCCCCCTTTTTATTTATTTGTTTAATTTATTTGTGGAAATTGTATTGCCTCTTTTAATTTAAATAAATTGATTTGACTTTATTTGTGTTTTTTGGAGAATTTAAAGAAGAGAAGAGTAAATTAATAAGAAGTAATTAAAAGAAGAACAATTCAATTTCTCACGATATTTTTAATTAAAAAACTGGGCAAACGTTTTTTCAAAATTGTCTTTAATTGCATCATAATATTCTTTATGACTGGCAGTCAAATGTTTAAGTTTATTTATTGATTTATTTATTAAATATCCGGCTAAATTTCTTATTATTTTTTTCTTTTATTTCCTATTATTAATTAATATATATGAATATTATATTCATTATAATTCATATATTACATAATAAGCAATTTTCTTCTGTTTGATTTTTAATTTTTATTTTATTTTTTTTTAACATTTCAATAAAATCCAATTTATTTTTGTTGATTATCTTATAAAGAAAATAAAATATTTATTTTTCTTTAATTTTACTACATCTGTATTTACTGTTAAAAATTGAAAATTTTGAAACACTGTCTCTTGAAACTACAATTTTGACCTTGTCTATAAATAAACATTTACTATTTATTAATTTATTATTCTTTTATAATTGTTTAATCTCTTTAAATACATTAAAAATTATTTTTTTATTTATCAATTATAACATTTTGTCAAAAATATTAGACAGACAGACATTTATTTTTTATTGATTTCTTTTGTCCTTTTATTTTATTATTTTTAGATTTTTTTTTCTTTTAAATAAAATATTTGAGTTATTTTTAATTAAATAGTTAGGAAAATATAAAACTTTTAAAAATTATACAAGTGCTCCACATAATTTTAACCTTACACGAAATTTTCTTTTCTCGATTTCTACCGCATCAATCTGACTGATTTTCAATTTATTTTAATTAAAACAGGTAACAATTAGTATAAACAATTCATATATCTTTTCAGGTCTTTACCAGCTTATTAAAAAATAAAGATTTCCATATCACATTTCTAAATATTTATAAAGTAATAATTAGGTTATTATTCTTTCGATATTCCCCAAAAACTGTATAATTTTCCAGAATATTGCATTTGCTGATTTAAAAATTTACTATTTTATTCAGTTTAGTTTATTAAATTAAAGTTCATTTAAAAATTAATATTAAATTAAAAATAAATAAAGAATTGATGGACAATAATTTTTTAAATAAAAAGAAAATAAAATTATTTATTTCTATTATTATAATATTTTCGGTTAATATAAAAAATTGTAATTGCTGTTGTAAATTTCGTGGTGAGATAACACCATCTTTACATGAAGAAACTAAATTAGCTATTAAGTTTGTCAAAAAAATTATTTAAAAATTATAATTAATTTTTAGATGGCATGTTAATTTAGAATGTGAAGAGTGTATTAAAGGAGGTAAATATCACCAAAAAACAGTTATAGATTCAAAAAATGGAAAAGGAGCTCGTTTTGAATTTGATTTAATTCCGGCAAAAGGAAAATATATAAAAAAGATTAACGTAAAAATTTCTTCCTTAGAAAGACTTTTTGGGCTTGAACGTGTAAGTTATTTTACTGTTAAAAATACATGAACTTTAAAAGTTTAAAAATAAAGAAAAATTAAAAAGGAACTTAAATTAGACATGATGAAATTGGGAATGTTATTTTTATAGCTAATTTTGAAATATTTAAAACCTTTTAAAGCTTTGAATGTTAATAAACAATAAATAGTGTATTTGGGGGCAATAAATATAAATAATTATTTTCCGGGATTGAAAATGCTTTTTGATATAGCTTTGTAAATTTCAAATTTAAAAATTCCTTCAAATTTAAATAAAATATAATTTATTAATCTTCGAATTTAATTAATTTATTTTAGACAAATACTTGGATATTAAAGAATCCAAATTGCGATCGGTTACATCGTTTCCAATTTGGACATTTTTCGCCTTTAAATGATAAAAGCCTTTATTTACGATTTAAATTCAAAAATTCATTGGATGATAAACTTTTAGTTAAACTTGAAGAGAACGATTTAAAAATGCATTATATTGTTAATATTGTAAAGGCAAATGACAGAAAATTTATTTTGGCTAATAGAGAACTTTCTGAAGATGAATGGAAGGGTAAAACAAATATAGATGTTGATTTAACTAAATATAAAGTTATATCTTATATCAGAACTTCCAAGCATTATCCAATGGTTATAAGTGTTAAAGCTGTTTGTTTTTTTAATTATTTAAAATAAAAAATTTAATTATTAGTTTTATGTTTGGGAAAAATAAATTAAGTATTATTAATAAATAAAAATATAAAACTGGTAAAATTAATGGGTTTTGACTTCATTAATTAATTTATTTTTATTAAGACAAAAACTTTGAAAAATAGAGAGTAAGGACTCCAAGACTGTCATTACTTCAATATTAAATTATTGCAAAAATGTTGTAAACTAAGCAATAATAATTTATTTATTTTAATATTTATTTAATTAATTGGAATAATATTTTAAAGGTACCAACAATATCTTGTGCTATTTGTAGTTTAAGAAAGAAAACAAAATTAAAAACAAATGTACAGAAATTACATATGATTCCAGGGTGTAATGTAAATATTATTTTTTTATTTGTCTTTTAAATTTTATTTTTCAGCATTTTGTTCATAAAAAATGTGCAAATAAAAGGTTATTAATTTATTTTATAAAATTTTCTTAATTTTATTTTTAAGAATTCGGAAAAATGCTTCACTTCATCACTATCGAAAGAAACGTCAGGCTTTAGAATCTGTCAAGGAAGATGAAGGGGAAGGTAAAGAAAGTCCTTCTTCTTCTGCTCCTCCAACTAATGCAGATAAAATTGAAGAGGAAGGAGATCCTCTTCCACCTCCACCTCTTCCATCAACCCCTCCACATCACCTTCCTTCTTGTTCGTCTTCTTCTTCACTTTCTACATGTTCTCATGGATCTCCAACAACGCAGCTAGAAGTAGCTTCTTCTTCTTCCCATTTACCTCCTCAAGAAACAAATACGGATAATATAAATATAACAAAAACTAATTTTGAAGATAAATGTCCGGTGATTGGTTGCAATAAAGTTGTTTTTATGAAAAAGACTTCTGCTGGAAAGTAATTTATATTATTAGAATATAAAATAGATAGTATTATTAGTCCTACATGAGCTCAAACTCTAGAATCCGGCTCTGTTCCCGGAAAAATTATTTTTATTAATTTGTATATAATAGGCAATAAAAATAATTTTTGGATTATAATTTTAATTTTTAGAGAATCTATCATTTTCAACAAAAATAATAAATTAAGAGAGAAAAAAGTTTTTGAAGCACATTTAGTTATGCCTATTTTGCAGGTATTTTTATATTTTTTAAATAAAAATTAAAAATTATTTTTAAATTAAAGAACGGTCAAAGTCCCGAATATACTTATTTATTTGAACCGAAACGCCCAACATTTCTTAAAAAAGTAAAATCTATATTTAAAAATATTAATCACAATCAAGTTGATGAAAATGAAATTGAAGAAGAAATTGTAAATAATGAAGCTGAGGAATTGCGGTTAGATGGAAGAAGTTTTAGAGAAGGATTTGGAAGTAGGAGAATTGAAGGAGTTCCTGTAGTAGATGAAAGTACACAAACTGGTTATTTTAATAAATATTATTAAATGCCCGATCATTGGAATACATAATTATGAAATTTAAAAAATTCGATATTTTGGGTAATTCGTCATTTTGGGTGTCGATATTTTGGGTCATCGATATTCTGGGTGTCGATATTTAGGGTGTCGATATTCTGGGGTGATCCCGTCACAATTTATATCAGCGATTTTTTCAAAAAAAAATCAAAGTTTCTGGAGCTTGGATAAATAAATATGGGCTGATATCCATAAAGTGACATTTATTTATAAACACCTCCTTCTAGTCGCCGATCTAACTTATTTGCTATCTTAATATTTTTAAAGATCCAGAAATCTCTGAACAATCAACAGGAAATGTACAGGTTGAGGAGTCTAAAGGAGTGGAAGAATCTGTTGAAAATCCAGAAAATAAAGATTCGGATTCACAAATAAATACTGAAAATCAAGAAAATAAGGGTCCGAATTCTCAAATAAATACTGAAAAGCAAGAAAATAGTGAAATTAAAAATAAGGAAGAAGAATCGACTAAAAAAGGAAAAGAACCAATTGAACAAATACCAGAAAAAGGCGAAGGGTCAACGAGTACTAATTTAGAAACAAATGATAATAAACCGGAAACAATTAATGTCTCTTATGAAAAATCATCAAGTTCGGAAAGTAGTTCAGAAAGTGATTCAGAAAGTGAATATGTTATTTATAAAAATGAAAAACTTAAAATACATCGAGAAAAAAGTAAAAGTATATAATTTTTTGAAAAATTCCAAAAAGATAATTAAAAATCTAATTAATTTTAATTTTCCATGTTTAACCTAAAATTCAAATTTAAGAAAATTTGGAATTTTTTGTTTTAACTAAAAATAATCTTATTCGGCATCTAATTTGCCTACTCTTCGAAAAACTCCACTACCAAATAATATTCCTCCTCCTCCTACAAATTTAATTAATTTATTTATCTTTAATTTTCTGCTAATTTGTTTAGAAAAAAAGCATTCATCACCTAAACAATCTAATAATACTTTACATTTACACCAACCTTCTAATCAATTTCAACCACAAACTTCTCAATATCCTTATTGTAATTATTTAATTATTTAGATTATTTTATAAAATAAATTTAAGATTATCCTGTAAGTGATGAAACTGTAATTGCTGAATTTTATCAGGAATTTTTCCGAAAGTATGGATGGGGGAATGATGAAGATAATACAAACAATTATTAAAAAAAGTTTTTTAATTAAGTAAAAATATTTGTAAATTTATGAGAAATAATTATGTAATAAATATACCTTTAATTTTTCTTAGGTTGAGACATAAATAACGAGCCCCCTAGTGCTAAACGGTTTAAATAATTATTAAAATTCGACTAAATGTTTTCAGACTTCGAATTATATTTTTTTATGATCCTAAGAGAGTTGCCTATTTTCTGGCAAAAAATCAGAATCTTAGGATTAAGTTGGCAGGAGTTAGAAAACTAATAATCTCAACCTAATTATAACAAATCAGAGAATTTTTGTCTAATTTCTCAATTAATTTATTTTAATTCTTTAAAAGTTTTTTGATCTTTCTATAATTTAAAATTAAATTTTTTTCTTTCTTTCATCTGTTGCCTATTTGAAAATTAAACAATAAAACGTTGCATTTCTTTTTTAAATTTCCTTTTTTTAAATTTTAATCAATTATAATTTTATGTTTTGTTGTTTAAATTAAAAGTAGTTCAATTTAAAATTAAATTAAAATTTATATAAACTATTTTTGAACTCTTTTTTTAATTTTAAATTATTTTCTAAAATTAGAAACAGTCGAGAGTCCAGTCTTCCTTTTTGCATTTTCTCTCTTTACTTCCTTCCCCCCCCCCCTTCCCCCTTCTCCCCATCTTCCTCCGACACCAATCACTCGGAAAGTGATTTTTAGGCGCCGATATCTTTTAAATTAAAGTCGAATAGTAACAAAACTTTCAGAATTGAAACAAAAATATAGACATAATCCACGATTTTATTTAAAATAAATTAGTTGAATATACTCGCAGTCTTTCTCTAAATTCCTCAATTCGAAGTCCAAATTTCGGCCTCCGAAACTGCACACTTAATAATTTCTCACTCCTAATCTGCGCCTAAAAAAGAATTAGTAACTTCTAATTCCCCTTTATTCCTTTCCAACTTCTTCCTCCCTTCTCTCATAATCAATTCACGTGTATCTAATCATCCCCCTTTTTCCTACAAAACCAAAAAATTTGGACTATTTATGTTCTTTTGCATTTTAACAGAAATTTTTATATCCAAAATTAACATCTGATCTTTCCTCCCCAAAAATTTGATTGATCGAGTTAATTAAAATTTCAAAAAGGAACAAAAAAAAAGTAAAAAGAACGTGTGTTCTTTACACGCGCCTTTTAATCCCGTGCAGGTTCTGTGAAATGATGCCAAAAATGTCTGTCTTTGGTCAACCGAGTGGAATGTGTAAAAAAAGGTAAGTAAATTATTTTAATATATATAAATTTAAAAAAAAGATTTTTTAAATTACTATAATCATTCAAAATTATTTCAAACGAATAATTAAAATGTTAAAATTTTTAAATTTTATTTAAATCTTTTATTTAAAAATTAAGTAGTTCCCCTATTTTAAATTTAAAAAATATATTTTTAATTTTCGATATAAAATATTAGTTTATATTGAATATTTTATTGAAAACTTTAGTAAAATAATTTCAAATACTACTATATTTTTAAATATAAAGTTTTTCAAATTTTTTTCCCCAGTTTTATTTAGTTCCGGAATTAAAATTAGGGCAATTATTAAGTTGTTTTTGTTTATTTTTTAAAAAATGTCTGTCCACATTTTTAAAAAATATAGCTAATAAATAAATTTTTTAATATAAAATAGAATTTTTACATTTAAATATTTATTTCAAAAAATTTAATTATAAAAAATAATTTAAAGTTATCAACAACAAAAATATTTGCTTTCAAAAATATTTTTTAAAAACAAATTTAATTTTTTATTCAACAAAAAATGCCAAAAACAACAAATTTTCTTTCAATTATTTTTATTTTATTTAATTTTGTTTTTACTACAATATTGCCCTTTAAATATCCAGAATTAATTGCTTCTTTGAATAAAAAATTAGAACCCTGTGATGATTTTTATTTTTATGTTTGTGATGGATTTGATAGGAAAAATATACCGCGGTAAAAAAAATTACTTTTAAAATTAGTTAATTTAATTTTTTCGGACATTTACCCTAATAAGGGAAATTTTTGTTAATTTTAATTACCTGTTAGGGAAACTTTTAAAATTTAAAAAAAATTTTCTTTTCATTATTTATACATAATATCCTTACCTATATTCTAACAAAATTTGAAACAAATCCATTTAATATTTGGTAGGATATTGATAAAAACTAGGAGGTCTATCATTTTGTTACAGAGTGTATATAACAATAATTTTAATTAATTAAAATATTAAAAAAAATTTTTATTTATCTTTTCAGTACTGATTGTTCAGAAATCAGTACAACAGCCAGCAGACGTCAACAAACACAAAAAATATTGGAAGGTTTTAAAATAAAAATTATTCAAAAATTAATTTAAAAATTTTAAAGATTTACTTGCCAACCCTCCACCTTCAGTCCCCAATTTACCTCAAAATTTAATTCAAAAACTTTACGGATTCCACAGTGCCTGTATTCAATCATCAAATAAATTAACTCAAAGCAGCGATGTTATCCTTTCAAAACTAAATATTTTAACACAAAAAGGAAATAATAATAAAAGATTATTTGATACAGATTGGGCTTTGAAAGCTTTCCCAATAAATGTTTTCTTTCAATTAACACCTTTATTTAACACAAATAAACCTCGAACTAATTTAATGAGAAAATCTTTAGGTAAAAAAATAATTAAAGTTGAAAAATAATTTTTATTTTTTTAAAGGTGTCCAACCAAAATCATTAATTTCAAATTATAGAGAAAGAAATATAAATAAAGTAATTTAAATAAATATTTTTTAAAAATTATTTCTCTTTAATTTTAAAGAAAGAAGAATTATTATCTACTCGATATGGAATGATTATCCAAAATTTATTGGAAGATGATGTTTGGTATTCATTAAAACAAAATATTCAACCCGTCTTGTTACCCTCAAATAATTTATTTAAAGTAATTTAAATTAAAAAAAATTCTTTATAAAATCATTTAAATTTAAGGGAGAAATAATTCCAAATTGTAATGGAACTCAAGTTAAAGAATTAATTCTTTCTGAGGCTGAAAGGCGTGTGAGAAATTTATTTAAAGTTGAAAATAAATTGGCAAAACAATTAGGTTAGAGAAAATTAAAAAAAGTTTAAAAATAATTTTTTAATTATTAGATTTTAATTCAATATACGATAGCGGCCCTTCTGGCTCCAAAAATTATTTAAAACTTTCCCAACTCGAAACACCCAATGCTTTTATTTCTGCATTTAATTGGACCAAATTTGTTCAAAATCTTCTTTCGCCTGTTGGACTTGTTGTAGATTCTCAAACAGAAATTCATTTATCAGACCCTTCTTTTCTTCAAAGGATGGGGAAAATAATTGGGGAATTTAGTGAACAAGAAATATCTGATTATTTGGATTGGAATACTTTGTGGACTTTTATGCCACAAATGGATAAAAGATATACTTTACATTATGTTAATTCTAAACCTCCAAAAGGTAGTTGAGAAAAAAATTAGTTTTATTTTTTGAAAAAATTAAAAGCTAGTAGAATAATTCTCTTGATGGAAAGAATTTAAGTTAAATAATTATGGGCAGTGCTGATATGGCTCCGGGCCGGGTCTGGAGCCGGAGCTAAGATTTTAAAAACCCGGAGCCGGACCAAGATTATTAAAGCTCGGAGCCGGAGCCAACAGATGCCAAATACCCAACACTGATTAGGGGAAAATAAAAAGGAAAAGAAATGGAAATATAAAATTTAAAAAAAAAAATTATTTTTTAGTTGAAGAAGAAGTTCCAGCTTCCCCAAATTATAAAAGATGTGCAATGACAAAAAGTTGGATGACAACAAACGAAAAATGTGAAAAGTTTATTGAATGGTATTTCCCACAAATATTTGATAGATTATATTTGTCTAAACATCTTGAAAATGGAGTACGGACAGAAATTGGGAAAATATATTCAAGTGTTTATTCGGAATTTAAAAGAATGTTGGAAAGTAAGGGAGAAAATTATAAATTTTCTTTAATTTATCAAAAAAACGCTCAGAAAAGTATTAGATAGAAAATTAATTTTTCTACTAAAAATAAATTTATATGAGAGAAACTATAATTCCTTCATTACTAAAATTAATATAATTTTAAATAAAAATTACTAATTTTTTTAAAGATAATCCTTGGCTCGATACAATAACAAAAGGAAAAGCCTTAACAAAATTACAGATGTTGCAGGCAAATGCTGTTTATTTTGAAAGAATATTTGATAATAATTATTTGGAAGGAATTTATCGTCATTATAATCCACTTAGAACAGATGTGCCTTTTGCAGAAATGGTTCACACCTTTGAAGGTATTTACTTTAAAGAAAGTAATACCAATCCTTAAATTTAAAAAAATAGGAGCAAGTTTTCTTCGTCAAATGGCAACAAATGATTATTATGATTCTTCTTGGCTCGTTAATGCTTATTATAGTAGAGAAACAAATGCTTTAGTTTCCCTAAATGGATATTTAAACCCTCCAATTTTTAGCAAAGATTTTTTGGCAGCTATGAATTATGCTGGAATTGGGGTGACCCTTGGGCATGAATTAAGTCATGCTTTTGATGATTGGGGGTCTTATTATAATGGTAATGGGCAAATGGAGGATTGGTTAGGCCCCCAAATGAGGGCAATATTTCAAAAAAAGAAGGAATGTTTTGTTAAACAATATGGAAATTCGAAGGTAGATTTTTGTGTTTTGGAATAATGAAATTATTAAGTGAGAATTAGATAGTTTAAATAAATTCAATAAATATAGGAAATTTGACACGAATTATTTAAACATTTAATTATTAAATTTATAGGTGCAAATTGACGGTGTTTGGATTAACTTAAACGGAACTTTAACTGTTAACGAAAATATTGCCGATAATGGAGGATTGAATGCTGCCTTTAAAGCATGGCAAGTACTAAAAAGAAGTTCGTCTTCACTCGATCAAAATGTTTTTGGAAAAATTGATGGACTAGAAGAATTTAATGGAGATCAACTATTTTTTATTCATTACGCCTTTGTAAATATTTTTTACCTAGAAAAATTATTTCTTTTATTTTTTAGCGTCAATGTTCTCGTTTGGGTTCAACATGGCTTAGACAAAGAATAATGACGGAACAACATTCTGTAGTGCCTGCTAGAGTAAATATACCTCTCCAAAATTCTCCACATTTTGCTAAAATTTTTGCTTGTCCAAGTGGTTCTCCGATGAATCCAATAGAAAAATGTGCAATTTGGTGAAGAATTTTATTGGAAAGATACTAAAAGAGCAATAATTTATAAATAAAAAATGCCATTAATTTTTTAATATTTTTGTATTTATTTTTAATAAATTTAAATATTTTTTGGAATTGTAGCCTCATCAAGACAGTCGTGTCTCGTTATTAGTATCTCATTAATCGGTTAGGTATTTTCCCCCACAATTAATGACGACCTACTTCTAAAAAGTCTCGATTAAATATACTTATCCTTTAAAATAAATCTAACAAAATATAAAATTTATAAAAAATTAATTAATATAAAAATATTTTTAAAAATAAATAACTCTGTTTTTAAATGATTATTTGGGGACTGTACAGTAGTTAGCTTTGACAAAAACATCGTTGGGACAATTTTAGGGAATATGCGGTATATATGTATAATTTCTGAGGAAAGTTTTGTTCAGGTCAAGGCTGGCGCAACTATGGATTGCGTAAATTCCAGAAAAAGGAATTTTTGCTCCAGTCCTGGTGCAGGTTCTAGTCCTGATTGGGGGTAAAAAGAAAATACAAATTTAGAAAATTATAATTATCAATTGAGAGGATGGGGTGTTTTTATATCATAAACAGTAGGGTTGCACAAAACCGTTTAGCTAAACGGTAAACGGTATACGATAAACGGGTTTTTTGCTCAAATTAAACGAAACGGTAAACGGGTCCCAGATAAACGGCATAAACGGTATACGGTCCTTCTAAACGGCGTTTAATTCGTTTAATTTTTTCTTAAAATTAGTGGCTTAAAACGGAATTTTTGCCGTCTGACACGCTAAAATCAGAAAATTTTCGCCTGCGGCGCAAAATTTAGGAAAAAATCTAGCTTGAAGCCTTCCACAATTATAAAAATTTTCGCCTGCGGCGCTGGAAAAGAAGAATTCTGGCTTATTGGCTTTTTAAATTTCTCAAAATTTTTGCCTGCGGCGCAAAAAAATGGAAGAAATCTGTCTTAAGGACCTCTAAAATTTTCAAAATTTTTGCCTGCGGCGCAAAAATGTCAATCATTTTAAATCCACTTGCATCACCTTAATCCTTAGATATAATAATCCTCTGATCTCTTAATCCTCTGATCTCCTTTATAACTCCTAATCTACCGATATCCCAACTCAATCCTCCTATATATATTAAAATCCTCCAAATTTCAAAAACCACTGATATCACTCTTAATCACCAGGAGTGATATCGGGTCTGTCTCTCTCTCTTCAGCCTGTCCTTATCCCTCTAAATCCATCGCTATGATGAATTTATTGTTGAAAATTCTTTGACAATCAATTAATTATCTTCTCTTAAAATACTCACTCATTTTCAAAATCACTCATTTTCAACAACTCTCAGATAAACGGCATAAACGGTTTTAATAAAGAGGGATGAGCAAAATTAATGAATTTTCATCGATTTTTTTAAATTATGAATTGATTTTAAAAAATTTTAAAAATAAACGGTAAACGGGCGTTTAAACGGGTCTTAAAAATTAAACGAAACGGTATACGGGTCTCAGATAAACGGCATAAACGGTATACGGTTTTTTCAAAATTAAACGGTTTTGTGCAACCCTAATAAACAGTATAGGAAAAATCACTCATTTTCAACAACTTCAATATCCATTCCTTCTTTTCTAACTTCTCTTAAAATACTTAAATGATATTTCTTTAAATGACTTCTGAGGGCATTTGTTGATTTCATATTTTCTTTAATTATCTTTTTGTATGGACAATAACGACATCCAATTGTTTTTTCTTCAAAATCAAAGAATTTTGCATATTCTATTTTCTTAAATGAAATTTTATAAAATAATTTTAATAAATAAAATTAAATTTTCTTAAATAATTTTCTTAAATAAATAAATTACTTAATTTAGTGTTTATTTAATATATTTATTTATTTTAGGGGAGCAATAAGAAATTCCCAAAAATTTAAAATTATATTAGAGACGACACTCAGACATAGAGCTTAATTCTTTGACAATCAATCGTTTTTTTCTTATCAAGTCCCTAGTAAATATCTAAAAAAAATTTTAATTTTAACCTTTTCTTTATTTGGATTATTTGCCAAAAGTGTAAAAAGTTTTTTTTCATTTTTATTCCAATTTTTACACCCTTCACAAGAACTTAAAAATAATTTTATTTGTTCTATAGTGATGTTTGCAAACTGAAAATAAATTTTTTCAAAAATTTTTTTCAATTAAAACCTTATTTTTAATCATACTGTACATAGACATACTACGTCCATGTCTAGTATCCATATGTATTTTATATAAAACATCAAAAATTTGTTCATTATAAAGAAAAAGTCTTTCAGAATCTTTACGTTCTGCCAACATTTCAATTATTTTTTCTTCCCCAAGTTGAACAATTTTATATTTTAAATAAGGTTTTTTGCTTAAATTTGTTGGTGTGGACATTGAAGGAGAGGAAGAGGAATAATTTGTTGCTGAAGAAGAAGAAAATGAGGGGTAAAATTGGGGGGATAAAATATTATTTTGATTATCTTCTACTATCCCTTCACCTTCATTATTATCATTTCCAAATTGTCTAACATTTTCAATCATTGCCAAATATTTATCACGTGAAAGTAAAATTTGTTTACGTTTACTTGTCCAATGATTTAAAGTAAGCTCTTTGAGGAAATTAATTCTCCAAGGAGCTATTTCTCTTTCCTAAAATAAGACAAATTAAGTAAAAATTATTATAATTAAATTCTTATATACCAAAAATTTTAAGTAAAACTTCAGAATGGAAATAAAATTCTAATGCAACAAAGACAAGGATGGGGTTAGGGAGTTATTTCTAAAAGAGTATCATTTTTGTGTCCAAATAAGGATAAATTTTTGTTGTGAAAAGTTTTACTAAATAAGTTTTTAAACTTGGTGAATCCGAGTACCAAAATGAAAAAATTTCCGATTTTAAAATGTTTTGCAATCCAAATTTAGGAAAACTTGTCAAAAGTGGAGAAAGCGAATTAACTGCGGATTATTCTTAATAAAATAATTTTCTCTTGCCTCTTCTTCGCCAATAGGCCAACTTTCTTTTGTATAACCAAAAATTATTTTAACACTATCGCTATCATCAAAACTATTATCATTATTCAATTCAATACTTTCCCTTCCTTCATTTTCTTCAATTGTAATATTTCGAAATTCTGTTGGACTTAGACTGTTTTGTAAAACATTTCCCAAATTATAAATATTTTTTACATGTCTAAAAATAATTAAAAATAAATTAATTTTTAATTTATTTTTAATAAATAAAATAAGAAATACCTATTAATTAATGCTTGTGACATTGTCCCAAATCTAGCAATTAATTCTCTAGAAATTGCTTCATTTAATTTATCCGAATATTCCGAATTAGGTAAAACTAATTGTTTGTGTATATAATATAAATTTGGAATTTCTGAATTTTTTGACGACATAAATTAATGGTTTTTTGAATTTATGAATAAATTTATCTTAAAATATTTTTATTAAATTAAATAATAAATTTTGGGAAAAAATAATTTTAAAGTAGAATTATTTCTACAATTTTAAATTTTCTTTTAATTAAAAATCAAATAAAGAAAATTTTTAATTTTTTAATTTTTTCAAAATTAAAAAAAATATTAAAAATAATTATAACAATATTATTTACATATTAATAAATGTAGAATTGAGGATAAAATAATTTAATTAATTAAAATAAATTTTATAAATAATTTCAAAATCCTTTAAATTAGATGATAAAATAAGATAAATTTTTAAAAAAGTAAATTTAACCCCAATAAATATTTTTAAAAATACTATTTTGTTTGATCTGCTTAATATTAAGGTAAGGGCATCTATTAACTAATATTTAAAATTAATGAAATTTAAGAATAAAGCTTTAAAATTGTACCTTTTTTCCTTCTCCCCTCTCTCCCTCTCCCTCCCTCCTGTCTCCCTCCCCCCTCCCCTTCCCCTCTCTCTTTCACCTCTCTCATTTGCCTCTATTACCTTTTTGCCAAGATAGACGAGAAATAAGCGCGACGCAAATGCTTGATAAATTTTATTGCTTTAATGGAAAAAATTGATTGATTTAATTAGAGTAAAAAAGCAATTATGTTTAAAATTTATAAAATTGTTTTAAATTATTTGTTAATTAAAATTAATTGTTTTTTTAAACTTGGTAAAAAAACATTTTATAAATAATATTGCTGTCTTGGAAGTTAACGAAGCTGATAATGATTTTAATTGTTTACTTTTGTGCCGGGCGACTTTTGCGCCGCCACTATTATTAAAAATATATGAATAACTACAGCCGAACTTTTATGGCCCAGAACTCATTCATCAGCTACCGGGCCCCTATTGTAGTGCCTGAACTTCCTTCAGTTTCTGGATACTATTTTTTAAACTCAAACTCAATAATATTAGTATTTTTAAACTATTATTTTTTTAAATAATGGCGGCGCAAATGTCGCGGCGCATAAGTAATAAATAGGTACTTTATTCCTGCAAAATAAAATATTACAAGAAACATCTAAGCCAGAATAAATCTAAATAAATCTAAATTTGCAAATACTCTTACAAATTAATCAACAAATTTATATTTTTTCAATACATAAATAATTTAGGTTTTCAGTTTATGGCAAATTTTTCGCTGAATAGTACCCCTTTTAGAAACTTAATGTATAGATTTCATATTTTAATGAATATTCTGACATTTATAATTCACAAAACCCGTCCTTGAAAACAGTGACTAGACAGGAAGCAATCTCTTAAAAAATTTTTCCTAAAATTATTTTGTTTTGATTATTGTCAGAATTGTAAAGCATATAGCTATTAATTTCCTAAGGCTGAGCAGTAGGCGGCGTGGTGTAATGGCTAACACATCAGTCCGGTCTACTGAAGATGCTGGTTCGCTCCCAGCCGCCGAATAACCTTTTGCACTAGCTAAAGGAAAGAAATAGCTATAGCCCAGCTGCTTTACTGAATAAAAACATGATAATATTTTCAATCAAATCAAAAACAAACTTTGCTTTTTTTGCTATTATTATTTAATTATTATTGGCATTTATTAAACATTTATTAAGAAATTTTAAAATTTAAAATAATAAATCCTTAAACATGTATATGTATGTATGTATTAAAAATTATTACTTAATAAATAATATATAATTTTTTAATGCCTTGTGGTTGTTTGAAAATTAAAGACATATATTTAATAAATATAATATATAGCAAGGCATAGTTTATAGTTGTAAGAGATTCGTGAAGATAGGTCCTCCCCATCCCTCCCCTTCCTTTCATCTCTCTCTCTCTATCCCCAATATAGGCAAGAATATAAGCAATAAAGGATCAATTAATCAGATTCATATAAATGAATAAACTTGATCAATTGATTATTCAATGTCTAGAATTTAAAAATTTAAATTAAAATATATATTTTATTAATTAATGAAAGATTAAAACTACTATCCGTAGAAAAAAGTTCAAAAAACAAATTACTACACAGCATTGTTTGATATACGAACACATAATATAATGTTATAATTAATGTTCAAGACCCTTAGTTATGATTAGATCAAGATTCTTGGACATATACTGCTTTTGGAATGTAGAATATTATACCTAAGTAGAAAGCAAATCGTCTACGTCGCTAAAAATTTAAAATTCTGGTGATTTATGTATCAAAAAACATAAAAAATCTTGTTTTTTTGGTTATTTCATAATTATGAGTAAACAAGAGGTGTTAGTAGAAGTTACGAGGTCGGAAATAGGGCCAGGGTAAGAATACGAGCGAAAATATATGTGATTATTTTAAGTACGAGGCCAAAATTATGAGTGGTACAAAGTAGGAGTTCCAGGCACTGGTCTTCACAAAGGCCAAGAAGCCAGATTTTTTTATTTTTTAGCACCGCAATCGAAAATTTTGAGCGGGGAGGAGGCAAATCTTGATACCCAACTTATCAAGAATACATATAACATTTTGCTTTTCATCATTAGTTTGTGCAGAGAGTAAAGGGTTGAGTAATGGGGCCTTTGGAATTTGAATCTTTGGATCAAGGTTTAATTGGCAGGTCCATCCAAAAACTGCTACTTTGTGAGGGAGTTCGTACGAGGATGTCCTTTTGTTGGAATATTATTATAATTAATGCCCTCGTATTACGAAGTATTGTAATAATCAAGGACGGAGAGATAAATATCAAAAAGCTTCATAAAACCAAAATTTATCTGCGGTAGTTGATAGTAAAGGATGGTTCTTTTTCCCCAGTCTCGAGGCTATATTTTAAGCCATATTTTTAACCGATTTAGAAAATTATTCTGAAGTTCTAGATGCGCTTATTTTAGCTAACAGGATTGCTTTCATTAGATTCTGATTATTTAAATCGGTTAAGAATCAAAAAAGTTATGAACCACCCACACTTCGAGGCTGAATCAGTGATATTGAATACCGATATTGAATAGGTGATTTGGTAACCTTGCAAAAAATTCTGTTTTGAAAAATTTAAAAGTTTTTGTTAAATGGCTACATCGTGATTAAATCAATAGTGAAGAAACGGCGCTTTTTATCCAAATTTGTACTCGTTTAACAAAATTCGTACAATTGACACACTCTCGCATTTTGTACGATGTATGAGCAAAAATGTAACAAAGAGAGGCCAAAAATAGTGTAGCTATTTTCTAGGTCAGAAGAATTGAAAAATCGGTTCCAATTTAAGGTTTTAAGTTTAAGGTTTTTAAGACCAAGAATTTTAAAAAATCCGAAGACCAAAATTCAATTTTTGACTAAACAGGTCCATGTTTCTGGTAAAATTCTGATCTAACATTTTATCACCCTATCCGACATTTTTATCATCAATTTAGGGGGTCCAGCCCAGCAGGTTTACGTCGTAATCGAAATTTTTTTCGTAATCGTAAATTTAAAAAAAATTCGTAATCGTAATTCGTAACTCAAAAAATGCCGTAATTCGTAATTAAGACGCAACTCTGCACCTCAGAAGGTCAAATACAAATTTTGGGCGGATAAGGATGCTCAAGAATATGTTTGCCTCCTTCCTTTTGCAATATCCGACAGTTTCACGAGGGTATTCCCGTCTTGTCTTTCATCCCAACAAATGTCTTAATCGCCTAAATCCGTCGATATTAATAATTAATGTCCACAAATCCATCTTAATATGCATAAATCCTTCTTTGTCCGCCCAAAATTTGTATTTGATCTTTTGGGTAATTTGACCTTCATGGTCTTAACCTTCTGGATTTTGACTTTCTGGGTTGATGCCAATTTAGGGAGTATAAAGGAAAATAAACAAATTAAAAATTAAAAATAAGGGGGCTTCGCTAGAAAACCAAATTTATTAATTTCGAAAATTAAACATTTTTTGCATGATCCTTTCTAAAATTGAAATTTTCCTCAAAATATAGCTAGTATAATTGAGAAGAAAACTTTTAACAAAAAATAAATATTTAACAATATTTTTAATTAAAAAACAAAAAAATTTCTCAGAGTTTCCCTCCAATTGCCTGTAATTTTTTATATTCCGATTCTTGTACTTCCAAAGACTGCAAAATCTTTTTAGTTTTTTCATCCCTTTCTTTTCTTATTTGTCTCCTTTTCTCGATAAAAAGTCTTTAAAAAATAATTAATTTAAAAAAAATTATTTTCATTTTTCCCTTACTTTGCAGAATTTTTAGCTTCTTTCCTTAAATATTTAATTGTATTTCTTCTTTCATTTTTTACTCTTTTTGCCCATTTCTTTTCTCTTTCTTTGGCAATTTTTGATTGAACAGCTTTTTTAGCTTTTTCTTCTTTTTCTAATTGTTCTGGATTTTCCAAATTTTTCTTTTCCTTTCTTTAAAGAAAAATAAAAATTAAAAAAAATTTTTTAATGACAACTTGAGAGCAGGCCAACTTACCGCGAGCGCAATCTACCGCAGAGCTATAACTTCGTTCTGAATCGTCGAATCCGGGACACCCTGGTATGGTTCGATGCGCCTCGACGAGCTGAATCGAATCATACCAGGTTGTCACGGATTCTACCATTTTGAACGAAATTATAGCTCTGCGGTAGGTTGGGCTCGCGGTAAGTTGGGGTGTACCCTGGCAAATTAACCCAAAAAATTAATTGAATAAGTGGCTGAATATTTGAAGAAAACAACTCACCCATCTTTTAAATTTTTGTAAAAAAGGAATATCCAACTTTCACTCACCTACACTTAAAAACCCCTAGCAAAAATAATTACCGGAGGAGGGGAAATTTTTTTAGATAAATATTTTTGAGTTAATTATTTTTAAAATAAACAAAAAATTATACTTTTGTTGATCAATTGTCTTGTTTAATTTATTTTCAATTAAAACTTTATTTGGTTGAGCAACAATTGTTGGTTGAAATTGAAGTTGATGGTACTTTAAAAAAATTTTTTTAAATCTTTTTAGAAAATTTTCCCCTCCAAAAAATTAAATAAAAATCTTAAAAAATCTTAAAATTTATTGAGAAAAATAAAAATATTATTTTCTATTTGCCTAAATATTTTTAACAAAAAATATTTCAAAATAGAAATTAGACTAAAAAAGGTTAAAAAATTAAAAAAAATTTTCTCCCCCCCCCCTCCAAAAAAATTACAAAAAAATTATACCAAAAAATCATAATTATCCTCCAATTCTTCCTCGTCCTCTTTTATTTTATTAGATTGTCTACTAATTTGATTTAACCCTCCAAATTGTTTAATTTCTTTAAAACAAATATCCAAACGTTCAGTCTTTTCTTCTTGTTCATCTTTTAACATTGACTTTAATGCACGCATTTGGCGGTCATGGGCAACTAATTCAGCCAAAGATTCTTTCCTTAAAAAATAATTTTATTGAAATTTGAGTTTTTTAAACATAATTTTATTGGAAAAAATTGACCAAATAAAAATGGGAATAGATGGATTTCGAGGGAAGTTAGGAGAAAAACTTTAAAAAGTTCAGGACTGGATGTGAACAAATTGAAAAATTATTTATTTTTTGACTCCACTAATTATTCTTGGAATACTTCTTAAAATCAAAAAGATTGAATATTTATAAAATTTAAGCAATTTTTTAACACGGACCTAAAAATGGCCGAGACAGGGCTCGTTCGATAGAGAAGGTGCCCTTTCAAGCAAGGATTTTGAGCCGTTCAAAAAAACGGGCAAAAACGGCTCAAAATCCTTATTAGAAAGGGCACATTCTCTATCGAATGAGCCCGGTCTCTACCGTTTTTAGGTCGGACACCTCGCAACTTTTCCGTCTAAATATAAACCCCAAAAAAATATTTTTTAAACAAACTTTGCCCGTTTAGATTTATTTCCAAAACTTTCTTCATCAGATCCCTCATTGCCACTTTCATCAGAATTCCCCATATTTCTCCAATGAACTCGTTTTAATCCAAACCCCTCAACTTCCGATTGTTTTAGAGAATCGACATTGGTAATAGTTCGGATGAGACCCCCCTCCTTTTTCCTTCTTCGAAGTATTAAAAAATGGTCAGTCTGATTTCAGATTATAGAACTCGTCGAGCGGTGTCGAATGACCCCAAAATCAACCCCAGGTCTTAACTTTGGACCGAGATACAAACAAAAAACCAGCACAAAGCGCAGGTTTAGCAAAGGCGTCTCACCGACTACAATAAGATTACTTCATGTCATATCTTTGTCAAATCTTTTTCAATTACGTTGATTTTGATGTCATTCGAATCAGCTCGACAAGCTCTTTCGAATGAGCTATTATTTGCTTAATCGAAATTTTATCCCAAAAAACCAGCTTGGTCCACCCTTTTATTTTTCAATTTTCTGGGGTCTGTATCTCGGTCCAAAGTTAAGACCTGGGGTTGATTTTGGTGTCATTCGACACCGCTCGACGAGTTCTATAATCTGATATCAGACTGACCATTTTTTAATACTTTGAGGAAGGAAAAAGAAGGGGGGGTCTCATCCGAACTAAAAAGAATTTTGGAGAAATTAACTGAACAAAACTCTTTTAAAAAAACCTCCAATTTCGGCATCCTTTTGTTCGGCCAACTTTTTTTGTTGAAAAATAAAACGTTTTTCTCCTTTATTTTCTTCGGAAAGTTGAGAATTACGCTGTCCAATTCTCCGATCCAAAATCTTCAAAAAAATATTTTTTATAATTTTAAAATAAATTTATCAGTAATTTTTCGGTTTATTGGCCCATAAAAATTTAATTGTCCTGTTTTTTCAACTCAAAATAGGTCCCTTAACATATTATACACGCGGTAGAATTCTTTAAACCAAATTTAAGCTTAATCCCCTTATACTATATTTTCGGGAGGGTGAAAATGGGAAAATATAGGAATTAGGGTTGAGAGCCCTATCCGGCCCGGTCCGAAAGATTGAGTCGGTCACATTGAATTTTGGCCCGAAAAAGACTCGGCCGGGCCGGCCATAAAAATGACTCGAACGTCGGCCCGACTCGGAAACCCCAACCCTAATAGAAATTGAAAACCCGAAAAAGGCTAATAAAATAAAGAAAAACCAAAATATTTATATTTTTAGAAAAATAAAATTTAAAAAATTTATTTATGTAATTTTAAATTCATTTACCTTTGACTTTCCCAAAAATCCATTTGATTGTTTAACTTTAGAATTACCCTAAAATAAATATTTTTTTCAGAAAAAAATAATTAATTATAAGACAACCCCATGTTTTTTATTGAAAGCCAAATCGAAAGGATTTTGTTTCTTTTCTGTTTTTATTTCCTTATTTTGTTCTCTTTTTTGTTGTTTTTTAAATTTTGTTGGTTTTGTTTTCGGTTTGGAACGTCTTTTTCTTTTTCCTGCTGAAACACCTTTCATTTTATATTCTCACGGATTTTTTTTGAATATTCAAAATAAAAGGAAAATTCTCTAAATAATCATAATATGATTAAAATGCTTGATAAAAAATGTTAACAATTAATAAAAAAAATTAAACAGGCGGAAAAATGTTCACTGACAAAAATTTAGTGACGAAATGTTCAATGTTATTTTTGAAAATTTTATGTGACGGTTCAGTGCCTGAGTAATATTTCAATTCAGTAACTACTGTCCCCTCAAAATTTCAATTTTTCATATTAAAATTGTGGTGTGGGCCATACTGAAGAATAAAAAGACAATTTAATTGGAGCAATATGTAGTTTATGGTTCTTCTCAAATTTTTCTATTTTTAGTCCATTTATGTGTACTTTTTTATTTCAGTTTGGACTCGGTAGTATAAAATATTATTCCGGCAAAATTTATACTCTAATATAAAATAAAAAAATTTTTCCTAAAATGAATTTTTAGCTGAGAAAATGGTTAATTATCATTTCAGTTACTCTTGCCCCTATCTTTATGTCGATGACTGTTTGGTATCTATTTAAAAATCAAAAAAAGTTTTTTTTTAATAATTATTTTTCGTATAAAATTTTCTGGAAGTTTTTTATTGATCACATTAAAAAAATTCAATTCTAAATTTACCTTTCAATCATTTTTTATTTATTATTTGGTTGAATTGGGCAATTTAAAAATAATTATTAAATCTACTAGATATATAATTGCCTTGTTATGTCCTCACTAAAAATAATTTAATTGAGGGCCGTTAATTCATAGAAAAGGATTTTTTGTTATTTTATGGAAAATACCTTTTTAATTGACTTTAACGAACATAAATTTAAAATTGAAGAGAATATTGGGTATATAAAAATATTTAATATATTTTTGAATTTAAAATATATTTTAAAAATAATTTCATAAATTCACACATCCATATTTTGATATTTTTTGGTGTAAAAATAAGAAAAAAAAAAGATTTTTGAATTTAAAAATAAATGTGATTTATCCAGAATAGGGTTGCCGTTTTCGGTTCGAGCCGACGTTAAGTGCATTTTTTGAGCTTGATTTTTTCGATTCGGTTCGTTTTTGAGCTTTTCGAGCTGAAAATCCTTGGCTCGCCCGATCTTTCGAGTTTCGGTTCGAGCAAGCTGGCAACCCTAATCCAGAATATATTCTAAATAAACATAATATTTTTGTTTTTTCTTCCCTTGCATTATTTGATAATTTTCAGATTATTTTTATAAAATAATGAATTATTTTATTTTCCCAAATTCAATGATTCCGATTTTCTTGCTTGGTTACTCGTTATTTACTGCTAATTTTTCTGTAGTATCACCCAAACATTCAAATATAAATGGTTAGAAATTTAATTTAAAAGATATTTATAAAATTTATTTTTAACAAAAAAATATTATTTTCGATTTACAAAAAAAATTGAAAATAATTTTTAAAAAATAATTTAAAAAATATTTTAATTAATTAAAATAAATTTTTTCGAAAATGATTCTATAAACGTCTCATTGTCTGGTATTTTGTCTACTAATCAGGCTGATGGGTTATCCTCGTCAGAAAATGATAAAAATTTTAATCAAAGGTAAAAAATAAACAAAAAATATTAAATTTAATTAAAAGTTTTGGGGCAAATGAAATTCGTCCAAAACGAGACGAAGATGATGATACTCCTTTACATGATGATGAAGAAATTGAAAAATCTGATATTTCTTCTTTTAATTCTTCTGATATAGAAAGTCCTTGGAATAATTCAAAAGAGGTATTTACTATACTTTATTAATTACCCAGGTTAATTAATGTTTTAACCTCTCGCTGGAGGGGGGTAATTATTTGAGCTTTTTTAGAAAGGCTAATTATACCTATTTTTAGGATGGGCTATTTTTTCGATCTCTGGCTGGAGGGGGTAATTAATAGGGAGGGGGTAACTATTTGAGAGGGTGACATTATTTCAGCATTTACTGTATCTTTCAAATATTTTTATTTAAATTAAATTTAAAGAAAAATATCAACGTTAAAAAACGTTCCCCTTCAAAAATAAATTCATCTGAAAAAAAACAACATGAACAACATAAAAGAGAAGTTGAGGGAATCTCGAATGGAGAGAAAGAGGACGAAAAAGAAATTACTTCAGATAATGAAAGTGGATCTGTTGAATTAAAAAATGTTGGGGAAACATGTTTGTAATTATTTTTTAAAAATTTAGTTGACAAAGTTATGCAGAAAAATTAAAAGTATTAAATAAAGAAATATCGAGTATAAAATGCACATAGAAAATTGTTTGAAACTCCGTGCATTGACATGCTTGTCCCTGACCGAACTTGAATAACTCTAATAATACTTCCCTTGCGAGAGCATAAACTTTTTGGATCTTTGAAGAGATATTTGATATATGGAAGAGATTCCTTGTTAGAAGAATAACGAACTATTCAAAGTTCTATAGTCCAGCTCTTGATAACTCACAAGTACTTAATAAATATTTTATTCTGGCTATTTAGCAGGCCAACAAGAAGGAGAGGAAATAAAAAATGAGACAATGAAAGGGCGTAACACTCGTTCAGTTGGTGGACTTGCTCACCGTTCCCGTGGGGCAGGTCAAAAAGGCCAACAAAAATCACAGGTTATAATACATAAATAAAAATATTTTTAAGAAGTATTTTTTAGGCTGGACGAGGCCCAAAAAGTGAAGAAATTGACTAAACAAATTAAACAATTTACATAAAATTTTTTATTAAAATAAATAAAATCACATATGTATGTACATCTAAATTTTAGTAGTTCGGGCTCTGGCCCCTTTCTTTCCTTTATTGTTTAATTTCTTTAAAAATGCTGTTCTTTAATTTTAACCTTATAAGTACTTACTTGTTTTAATATTTAAATTATATAGATAATTTTTAACTTTCATAACAACCCAAAAGTATTACCCCATATTCGAATTTTCCACCCCAAAATTGATCTTACTCCCCTCTAAGGTTTTTCGTTTTTTTGGGGACCCATATCTCGATTTTTAAATTAAATCCACGTGGATTGAGCTGACGTATGTACAAGAGGGACTCCAAAATATTAAAAAATTAACTATGAGTAAATTTCATTATCCCTCAAGTTTAATTTTTCTTAACTTTTTAATAAAATTAATTAGAAAAGAAAGCGTTTTTAAGTTTATGAGATAATTATTATTATTGTAATTTATGGGAAAATTTCATAGCATATACTTTACTCAACAATTAGACCAAACAAATTCAATTTTTCACTTGTGACATGTGTCACACATACTTGTTTACTATTGTCTACTTCAACACTCCCCATAAAACTGCCCAACATACTAAACTCGTTTCCATTGAAACTTCTGCCCTTGCAAGGCAAACCAGTGAGAAAAATTTTTACATTTTAATTTTTTTATAATTTTTTTCTAACTTTTAGAAAATTTTTTTAATTTTCTTTTTTACTTATCAAGTAAACTGTCTCTTGGTTTTATGCTATATTTATGCGTTCAACTATTTATGTTTTGGGTTTTGCTAGGTAGTGATGTTCGAAAGTTAAAAAAAGCCGAGAGTCGAGACCAAGACCGAGAATCAACCCCGAGACCGAGACCAAATCGAGAGTCGAGACCGAGACTCTCGAACATCACTATTGCTAGGGATCGGTTAAAATCAAAATATGATTAAAATTTTGTCAGGTTTTGAGGCAAAATTGAGTCAAAATATTAATTTGAAATTATTTGATTGGATCTTTATAAAGTCAAAAATTGTTATAATCCTGCTAGGATAGAAAATATTAAATAATTTTTCTTTTTCACTAAATAAAAAAAAATCTATTAGAAAATTAATATTTACATATTATGTATCAAACGAAACAATTAAAACAAATCTCTCTTTACAAATTTTAAATTATTAACAAACATTTTTTATCTTGTCAATTTTTTGACAAGATAATTTTTTGACAATTTTTTGACAAACATTTTTATTAAACAAACATTTTTTATTCATTTATTTGGCAGAAACAAATTTAAAAAATATTATGGATATAAAAACATTTGTCTTTAAAACAATAAATTTATTTACTGACACTATTGGGCTTTTAATTTTTGGAAATGTTGTTTATTTAACTATAAAATATAAGTAAATTTTTATTATTTTAATAAATTAAATTTTTAATAAAATAAAAATAAAGATAAGATTTGGGGTTGCTTTTAGCTTTTCCCTAAAAATGCCAAAAAATTGACAAGAATACCAAAAATATCAAATATAGATTAAATATAAAATTATTCGAAAATTTTGAAAAATATCGAAATGAAAATACATCCTAAAAGATTAAAATGATTTAAAATATATTCTGATTATATAGCTTACATAAGATTTATGAATTTCCCTAAAAATGGAATTGATATGTATGTAGAATGCTTGGAATTTGCTAAGAAAAATATACGGATTTCCATTAATTTCCTAAAAATATAGATTTCCATTAATAACGTTTCAACCTTGCAGTGATCTCCATACACTTTGCCACATTCTTCTTGGACTTTATTCTTTATCTCAAGCCTGCTCTAAAGTTATGCTGTTACCGTCTTACATACTTTATGTTCTGCAAAGCACAATTCCTTTTTATGTTTGTGTTTTAATTGTTCTAATACCTAAAGCATTAATGATGGGTGTTTTTACTTTTATGGTATCAATTGGAATTGATAGAATGCTTGGAATTTGTTTTCCTTTTTGGTTAGTTCTATGTTGAAATCAAAACCAAAAATTCATCTCTCAAGACAACCCTAAAACATACAAGAGAGTTTTGAGTAAAGAGTGTTGTGGTTACTAAGGATCTCAACTGACTAATATTTTTAAAAATATAATTTTAATTTTATTTAAAAGGTATATGCAAAATAAGAGCAAACTTTATCGGCTTTTATTAGTAGGCACACCATTTTTGTATCCTTTGTATTATTTATATTTAATGCTTCAAGATTTATCAAATAATAGGTTTATATATAACTTTAAATATTTTTAAAAAATTTTATTTAAAGTCCTTCAAATTGTTTATTAAATTACAGCAATGCATTTATTAATTTATTTCCAATTATTTGTGTTATTTTTACATTATTTTGCTATTTAATTATTTTATTAAAAGCAATATTTGGAAAGGAACCGATAGGTAATTAATTTATTTTAAAATTATAAGAAAATATACATAAACGCTTACGGCACTTAAAACCAAATCGGGGTGACATTTTTACCTTATTTACATACATTGCCCTATTTTTCCCCCAATTTTCTCCTTTTGCCAAATTTTGCCATGTAATATTGCTGCATGGCATTCTGTGTGGCATTTCAGATTTCTGACTTCCGACGACTTTCGCTTAGCTCGTATCATCATTTATTTATGAACATATCCTTCGTTCCACCCTTTTATCCTTCGACATCAAGACGCCTTATCGAGATTTATTTAAAGGTCAATCTCTGCGTGAAGCAATTCTTAAATCTTCAGCTACATTAATTTTTATTCAAAATTTTGGTTGGATTTGTTCTCTTGGTTTTATCTTTTATATTAGAAATTATATTAATGACAATGATCAAATATCACTCTACTGGAACTTTGGATTTATTTTTTCTTCTTTAATTACTATTATTGAAGTTCTATCTCTTTTTATTAACAGGTATGTTTTGAAGAAAAATAAATTTTCATGTATTTAAAAAATAAGGCAAATGCAACCCCTACAAATGAGAGACTGTGGGGGCGTCCATGGGAATTCGGGATAAAATTTTGTAGGACAGGTAGACAGATATAAAAAGTTTGAATTCTGCATGAGAAATTTATTTTATTATAACATAATTTAAGCCTTATTAGTGTAAAATTCTGAAAATTATTCTGTTATATAGCAAAGTACAGAACTAGTTTGCGGACATAAAGATTGCGAGCTTGTGCGTAAACCGCACAATTTTACTTAAAATTTATTTTTTATTATTTTTAACTTTTTCAATAAACTCCGCCCCCGCCGGCCTACCAGCTAAAATTGACAACTCCGGTTGTCACTTGCTTTTTTGTTAACCTTCACATATATTTTGATACCCGCTTATATATTTGGATAATTTTTAATTAAATAAATTTTCTTCTTTTTCTAAATTGTTTTTTGTTTAATTCTAGGGTTAGGGAGTTAGGGATTAAAATTAAATTGCCATATTTGGCACATAAAAATTGGAGCCCCGTACGGGTCAGTATCGAATACCCGTATCTACAATCTTCACGGCATAGTGCCGATACCTTAGCTCAGCCTAATTATTACCAATCAACGATTGCCGGCCAGAAGTGCCCATCGTTATCTCATCTACATTTTCTCTAGCAAGTGCCGGCCAAGAGTGCCCCTTGCTAGCTTAATCAGTTAATCAGCGATTGCCGGCCAGTCAGTGCCCATCGCCCAAGCCAGTCAAATTTAAAATCCAAGTGCCGGCCCCAAGTGCCCGTTGGATACCCTATACTCAAGTGACCCTAGTGAGACTCAGATAGTTTTTGGCCGGCCAATCAGAGCCTTGCCTTTTGCCAATTCTTCACATTTTTGTGTAGTCGTCTGCACCTGGCGATTGCGCCATTTTTGTCCCTTCTCTTTCAGATAGAGAATTTTTTTCCTTTGTTTATTGGCCAAGCATAGGCCAACAAAATAAACAACTTTGCACATTTTCTGTGCATTCCATTATCCTTTTTTTTATTTTTTTATAAATTTGCACATTTTTGTGCAAAACAAAAGATAATCTTTAGTTGTTTATAAACTAAAGTTTTTTAGTTGTTTTCTCTTCACGGCAGAGCCGATTTTTTACAACACGGTCTAGTGGACCGAATAATTTTAGAAAGTTTTTCTTCACGGTTAAGGTAACCGAACCCATATTTTCAGAAGTCTGTGTGCCGGTTAGAGTCCCCACAGACAGTACCAGGTCTAAAATATTTTTCAGCGCGGTCAGTTCAGACCGGAGTTAAACAAGCAAGTCAAATCCTACCGTATAGCAAGTAAAGTTCATTAACAAGTTATGGCGTCCTCCGGATCTATCCGCAGGCAATTGGGGTTAGCACTCAAAGCATTGAGAGACCAGCTAATTCCCGCACTCCAAGCATTAACTCCCGCAGAGGGAGAATTACAGAATCAAGATTCCTTACGCGCAGCGCGTTTCCATTTGAGTCGAGCTCTAGTAAGAGTCGACGATTTACACGTCCGATGGACAGAGTTCATAGATACCTTAGGGGGAGAAGCCCTCGAGCATGAGGAGCGAGCATACCAAGAATTTTCTCCGCGAGCAGCCGGAGACCACGACCAAGAGTACAATCATTTTATGGATATGGCCGAAAGGGCCAGGGGGGTAATAAATGAGATTGATTACCTCCTAGAGGAGGCAAGTGTGCCGTCAGGCCAAGGTAGTCAGGCCACCCTCACAGATCAATCAGAACACGTTTATGAGCAGAAAAACCAGAATGTTAAGTCCGAGCAAAATAATAATTTCCATCCCATAGAAGTTAGGCTTCCAGAGCTTAAAATGGATCCTTTCAACGGCGATCCTAAAAAGTGGCCTACCTTTTGGCAAATGTTCTCTACGAACATCGACCAGCGTCCCATGGATAACATCAGAAAGATGAGTTATCTTCTTACATTTTTACAAGGTCCAGCTAAGGATTTAGTAGCAGGTTTTGTCCTTACCAACGAAAATTATGACAGAGCTTTAGAATTGCTCAAATCACGTTATGGGAACAGCCGGGCCATCACAGAGGCTTTAGAGGCTGAGCTTATGAATCTTAACCCACCCAACGAATCTAGCTATTCCTTAAGGGCATTCGTTGACTCGGTGGAAAGAATTTGCCGACAGTTAGAGGCATTTGGAACGATGGATCAGTCCCCCTTCGTTTCGACAGTTATCAAAACCAAGCTACCCCAATCCATAGTTGCCAAGTTAATTGAGAAGGAACGAGATTCCCAAGTCAGATGGGACAGTGCCAGACTTAGAAAAGAGTTATCTAATTTAGTCGAAATCAGCGAGGAAGTTAGGCGATGCTCACAAGTTAAAGCAAAACCGCAAGGAGGTCCCATTGTCCCTCCTAACCATCAGAGGAATGATCAGCGTCCGAGACCAGGACATACCGAGCAATTCCGTTCATTCGGTGCCCAGTCACGACCTATTCAAGGCAGACAGTTGCCCCCTCGAGGCAAAAGAATTTGTTCACTTTGTAACGGAGGAGTCCATTTCCCTAGTGAATGCCCCAAATATTCAACCCCTCAAGCACGTTTCCAAAGATTAAAAGAGCAGAACCGTTGTGTCCGTTGCCTTGGGGAAGGTCATTATGCCAGAGAATGCCCTTCCTCTAGGATTTGTGCCCAATGTCAAGGCAATCATCACGTGCTAGTATGCACGAGAGCTTTTAACAATAGTCCGAAGTCCCGCGCCCCAGTGAGAAATAATTATCCAAGCAAGAAGCAAACTACCCAGATAGTTTTAGCTAAGGCACCAAGTCCAGCTACTGGTTCAAATAGAGTTCGTGCAGTACCCACTCAAGTAAAGCAAGTTAGTGAGACCGCTCCTGTTCAAACGAGTACTATGAACACTGTAGCCTTCGCTAATCTTAGAAAGAAACCATCAGCTTATCTCATGACCAGGAAAATAGCAATTTCAAATCCTCGAAATCCTAACAGAGGAATTTTAGCCTATGCATTTTTTGACCCAGGGAGTCAACTTAGTTACATTACACAAGACTTAGTGAATCAGATACGTCCTCCTCAGATTTCCCTAGATGACGTTGAGATCCACGGATTTGGTGGGACTATCAGAGATCCTATTCGAATCCGCTCCCCCTCCTATGCCGTCTCAGTTCAGAGGGAGGACGGAGGTTGGGAGGAGATGGAGCTCAACTGGACCAAAGAAATTAGCACTCCGTTTCAGATGGCTCAGTGGGCCTCTGAAATGCCGGAAAAAGCTATAGAGCTTAAAGAAATCCAACAAGCAATTAAATTCTCTTCCGAAGTCCCTGGAATTATGTTAGGCACGCGTCATTTCTGGAAATATTTCCAAAGCAAGACGGAGGTTGCCCCAGGACTTTTTGTTATCCAAACATCCTTTGGCCCAGTAGTGGGGGGCGAAACAGATATGAGCCCGCAGGGAGGCCGCCCGTCCCACACATTAGCGGTTGTCAGTAAAACCAACGAAGACCAAATGCCTCCGGCCAATCTCGTAGAAGAGTTTTGGAACCTAGAGAGCATTGGAATTAAAGAAAATCCGTCAGCAGATGACGACCAAATAGCAATGAATCAGTTAAATTCAAGTATATCCCAAGATAAAGATAACCGTTATCTCGTTAGTTGGGTCTGGCGGGAGCCGCGTCAAGCCTTACCTAGTAATTATCGCATGGTCTATAGTAGACTCTGTTCCACCTATGGGAGTCTTAATCAATCCCCAGACCTTCTTAACAAGTATCACCAGATTTTCCAAGATTATCTAGATAAAGGTATGATAGAGCCCGCCCGTCGAAATCCAGACGGTCAAGAGCATTATTTAGCCCATCACGCAGTTATTACGCACAAGGTGCGCCCAGTTTTTGATGCAAGTGCCCACCCGAAGGGACAGCCATCCCTCAATGATTGCCTTTTAAGGGGGCCAGTACTCCTACCAGAGCTTGTAGGACTTCTACTGCGTTTCCGATTGCCCAAATTCATAGCAACCGCCGACTTAGAATCAGCATTTCTAATGGTCGGGTTGCACCAAGCCGACCGAGAATTTGCCAAGTTTCTTTGGGTTAAAGACCCTGCCAACCCTCCATTAATGGACAATATTCAAGTTTATAGATTCACGAGAGTCGCCTTTGGAGTGACCTGCTCCCCGTTTCTTTTAGCGGGAGTTATCCGCCATCACCTCAAGAAATACAGCCCAGGCCTAGGGGAGGAGATGATAGATAGTTTATACGTCGATAACCTTCACCTAGGAGCCGAATCGTGGTCCGAGCTTCTCAGTAAGTGCAAAGAAGCTAAAAGAATTTTCCTCGAGGCTAAAATGAATTTGAGAGAATTTGCTTCAAATTCCCTCGAGTCCATGAGTGCCCTACCAGCAGAGGATCATCTCGGCAAGTCCGAAGCGAAAGTTCTAGGAATGAACTGGGATACCCTCAAGGACGATCTAGGAGTCCAGTGGCCTAAAGAATCAGTCCAACCCAGATCAACTCGGAGAACAGTTCTCAGTGCCTTAGCAGGCATTTTCGATCCCTTAGGACTTATTTCACCAGCTATTTTACCAGCGAAGATATTTTTTCAGCAGCTCTGGGATGAAGAGCATGAATGGGATACCCACCTTTCAGAAATGGAGCAAAAGATTTGGGAGGAATTTATTAAGGGATGGCAGATTCCCGAGATTCGTCTCCCGCGCCGAGTATTATTAAGTTCTTATAAAGAAATTCAACTTCATACCTTTGTCGATGCCTCTAGCAGTGCCTATGCCGCAGCGGTTTACTTGCGATCAGAAGGCAAGCGCCAAGTCCAAGTAAATTTAATATTTTCCAAGAATCGCCTCAAGCCAAAGAAGGGAGGCAAGACCTTAACCATCCCTCGGATGGAGTTGATAGCTATATTAATTGGTGTTCGAGCAAGCGAATACGTTCAGAAAGAATTAAAATTACCCATGTCCCAGACCCATATATGGAGTGATTCTCAGATTGCCCTTTCATGGGTAAAGTCACCACAATCCCAGCCCACATTTGTCCAGAGGAGACTAGATGAAATTCGTTCCCACGAAGGAAATATTTTCCATTATGTCCGGACAGATTCGAATCCGGCCGACGTAGCGACCAGAGGAATTTCCCCAGCCGAACTCAAGCTACAGAAGCTTTGGTGATTCGGTCCCAAATGGCTCACACAACCAAAGTCAGAATGGCCTAGCGAGCTTGAATTTAAGCCCGAGGATATCAGTCCTACAGAAGAAAAATTAAAGTCAGTCTGTCTCGCGTCACAGACGAAGCTGAAAGAAATCCCACCCAACCCTCTACTAAAGAGATTCAGTTCATGGAGTAAGACATTGAGAACTATGGCTTACGTCCTCCGATTTATCTCTCGTACCAGCAAGAGAGAAGGTCCCTCTTTTACCTTAATTTCCAAGACAGGACCTTTCAAAGCGTCCGACTACAATTTAGCAGAAATTTACCTTATCAGATGGGAGCAGGCCGAGTGCGTCGAAGAGCTCTCCAAATTTCGTAGTTCCACAGACTCTCATGGAGTCAGGCGCCTTCAGACTCGAATTACTAATAGTCAAGGCCCTAAGGGACTAGTTCACCCCACTCTCTTACCCAAACATTCCGAAGTTGGAAAATTGATTATTAATCACATCCACCACAATCTTTGCCATGGGGGTGTCAGTTGGACCCTCACCGAGTATTTAAATCAGTATTGGCAGCCAGGAGCTCGCATGGCAGTCAGGAAGGTGGTTATGAGTTGTCCTTCTTGTCGAAAGATGAATTCATATAAGTATGCCCTCCCAACCATGCCTCCTCTTCCATCCGACCGGGTTCAGCAAAGACGACCCTTTCAGTCAATAGGAGTCGATTATGCCGGTCCCACCCTCACTAAGATCCAAGAAGTAAATGTAAAATGTTGGCTGGTGTTAATTACATGTCTCACCACGGGGGCAGTGTACCTCGAACCGACTCTAGACCTAACAGCAGCCTCATTTTTAAATGTTTTCCGCAGATTTATTAGCCGTCGCGGACGCCCAGACCGCGTTCTCAGTGATAATGGAAGAAATTTTGTCCTTGCCGAAAGAGCTATTAGATTTGCTTTGGCCTCACACAGCGCCGAGAGCAGAATTGAGTGGAAATTTATCCCGTCCTTATCCCCTTGGGCGGGAGGAATTTACGAGAGAATGGTCGGAATGGCCAAGAATTGCTTCAAGAGGTCTCTAGGCAAGAGAATTCTCCCTTATGACCAGTTAGCTACATTCACCGCAGAGGTGGAAGCTACCCTCAACACAAGACCTTTGACTCATACATCAGACGAGGAAGGAGAGATACTTCCTCTCAGACCAATTGATTTTATTCAGCCCGGAGCAATACTTCACTGTGACCCTTTGAGTCCCGAACAAGATAAACCTAGGCCACTACCCCACGAACAGCTTATCGCGTGGTGGAAGGCCACTCTGGAAAATTTAGAAAACCTTTGGGTGAGGTGGAGGAAGGAGTACCTCGTCACCCTTCGTGATCGATCAAAATGGGACCACGTTGGTCCTCGACTACAAATTCATTCAGCTCCCCAACTAGGCGAAGTCGTACTAGTAGAGAATTTAATGCAACCCAGAAATGAATGGACCCTAGCTAAAATAGTAGAATTAAATGGTCACCCAGGACCAGTTCGGAGTGTTAAGCTACTAATGCCTAACGGCCGAATTTCTACCCGTCCCGTCAATAAAATATTTCCGCTAGAAGCGAGTCCCGTGAACATTGAAACAGATAAGAAGCCTCCGGCTATAGAGCCTGCGAGCAAGCAAAATGAGCCAATTTTGCGTGAAGAGCCTCCGATTCAAGAGGAGAGCTCAAAGACCATAGAGAAAACAGATGAGTTACAAACAAAGCCGCAGGCTTTAGTATGCCCCCAGGAGTCAGTCCAGAAAGAAAACAAAAAAATAGAGAAATCAGCTTCCAAACATGTTATGATTACCCGGAGGCGCGCAAAATTAGCACAAGCGCAGTTAACCCTTGGGGTCATTTTCCTTTTATCACTACTGGCAGCAGTAGGGAATTTAGCAGCTCCGATTTGCGATGGATGTCCGTCCTGCAAGGGATGCTTAGTCCATTGTAGCAAAGCAGGAGTAAGCATATTCGCCCCAGATAAAATCAGTAAGATTCAGATTTGTTGCCCCGGGAGTTGCTCAGTCCTCCCCGGACAAACGGAGATTACCCATTATTTGCCCAAAGATGTATTGGTGAATGATTACACATGTCACGCCAATTTTTGGGATACCAACCACGAAGAACCCTTTGAGGTCACAGCCAAGTGCGATGCTTTCAATCCATGTCAGTTAGTAAACTGTTATTTTTGTCTAGACCTGCTAGCAAATCCTAGTTGCGATTTCAAAATGTTTTTCTTTGTTCTTGTTTCCATAGCTTTTCCCTCCTTCCTTATTCTCAGCTGCCTTTGTGGCGCCCTTCAGCGAATATTCAGACCATTTAAAGCATTCATAGGAATTTTCCGGTCTCTCAACAGATGGGGGACACGAAGAGGAGAATTAGCGGTGGACAAAGGGAGAAGTGTCTTAACTAGTAAAAAAGCGTTAATAAAAGAAAAAACTCATGGAGCTAAGAAAAAGATACAAAAAGAGAGCAAGAAGCTCAGAGAAGCGAGTTTAGCCCGGTTAGCTAAATATGGAATCACCCTCATAATTTTTTTCCTCCTAACCCAATTAGCCTCGAGCGACACTATCTCAGTCATGTCCGAGTCAGAGAATTGCCGAATTAATAATAATACCAGAATTTGTTCAGTTTCGAGCTCAACCACTCTTACTCTACTACCAGCCGGCCAACCCACTAATCTCCTCATAAAAGATGAAAAGGGAGAAATTTTGGGGGCCCTAACCTTTAGTTTATTGAGCTTGACCCTCAGTTGCAACCCAAAAACATTAGCATTCTTGAGGAGTTACCGTATTAATACAAGATCTGTGTGGCGTTGCCCTACCACAGGTTCTTGTACCGGTAGCTTTTGTTCAAATGTTGGAGCAAACACTCATGTCCCCGAGGTTGTAGAAGTTATGAAAGAGCCCGGAGCAAGTGGATGTAGGGAGTCGTCAGCCCTTTGGAGTAAAGGTTGCGGACTGCCGACGGCTAGTTGTCATTTTTATAGATGGTACGCCGTTCCCACCAGTTTGGACCTTTTCGAATTGTTCAGTTGCCCTACCTGGGACTTTAACATAAAAGCTGTGTTTCAACTCACAGCGAGTTCCCAGACCTATGAGGAGTCAGCCATCCTTCAGCCAGGACTAACCCACCACTGGCTGAATACCTCAATTACACCAATTGCAGTGACTAACCCACCATCTCCGACTCTAAGTACCCCATTCCTCACCAACGGATTCTCGGTAGCCCTGGGGCAAGACGTCCCTCGAGATTTGAAATGTGCCGACGCCCAAAGTGCCTTAGGGTTTGGGTGCAATATTTCGAAAGATGCCTGTCGAGAATGTCACCCCACAACCGACGGGTCAGTTGAGTGCCAATGCCGTGAGTTCGACGGCGAAGCCATCTTAGCTGATCCGGAGAAGAGGTTACCCCTAAACATAAACAAACAAACATTTCTCTCAGAAGGAGAGTCAGTTCAAGTTGAGCAACCTTATTCACCCATACAGATCCATTTTAGAATGTCCAATTTCAAATTGGTCAACGAAGTAACCGAATCGACATGTACAGTCGCGATAGATAGTATAGGAGGATGTTACAAATGTACTACAGGAGTACAGATCAAGTTTTCTTGCAATACCAACTTTGGTGTTGCTCTAGCCCATATCAGATGCGATGATGGAATAAATTTCGTCGCGAGATGTTCCAAAGAAGGCATAGAAGGGAGTGCCAACTTTGCTTATAACCGATCCAAGATAGAGACTAAATGTAAAGTAAAGTGTCCTGGAGGAGAATCTCCTCTCCAATTACAAGGCCAACTCCTTTTCATACCCCTAAAATGGAGACGAGATAAGTCAATCCATTCGGTGCAAGGAGAAGCACCCTCACAAGTTAGCATAAACCTTTTGAAATTTCACCCATTTTCCCTCTTATTATCTAATTTTTTTCCAAATTTTCAAATTTTCATACCCATTATCTTTATTTTCATAATTATTGTAGTTACCATAATCCTTCGTTTTAAACTTAAGTTGTTAGGAAAGTTAACAACTTTATTCCCCCTTTTGTTATTTTTCAGTTTTCCAGGCGCGGAAGGGGTCAGAGACCCAAAGTACACAATTTTGCCAAACCCCTCCAAACTTTTTGAAAAAATTTGTTTATTCAGAGAAATAAACGGTGGACGATCGCCAGATGTCTTTAGTCCTTCAAATATAGCATTAGAAAAAAAGGCTTTGCACAGAAATTGTGCAATAGAAAGGAATATGTGCATTCCATTAAGTTTTGTATTACAAAAGAATTTCGCCGACCATTTTGGCCCATCCACTCTTCCCCTTCACAAATTATCCACTCTTCCCCTTCACAAATTGCAAATAAACACACTCAAGGGCCCAGATGTGTTGAAAAGAAAAAAGAGTAAGACAAACGAAGCAATTAACCCTGGAGGCGGACCTATCATTAGTTTGGTCCTTCCCTTAGCAATAGTTTCCTTACTTTTATCCAACTTCATTTTTAAAAATTCTCAAATAAATTTTTATTTAAATAAGTATTTTTTAATAAGCCAAGCTATGGCGAATAATCCTGAAACCCCGCAGCGGGGAGAGCACTTAGCAAGCTTTTTGAATCGGGTCATGGGCCCCGTTGACTGGGATAGTTCCCATTTGAGACACCGAGCCGAAGGGCTCATTTCTTTAGTGTGGAAGGACCTTACGCTTCGAGGTCAAGCAATGCCGGCCAATCGACCGATTCTATCTAGACCAGCATTCATAGAGTTAGTTGAGCCGAATATCAGCGTAGAGCGATTTTTCGTTAGAAAAGGGCAGCCGTTAGCTTTCCCCCGAATGCCATGCCTGATTTTTGAACGTGGCATTCGGGGGACTTCACGGAAAAGCAGGCAGAACTCAAGAAGGGTGGGTCACGCCTGCTGGCGTAGCGGGCACGATCACCGCGACTACATACCTTTAGAAAAGGTTTTCTATAAGCCTGAGGAACCGATCAATCCAGCAAAGCCACCTACACCCCCACCGAGCTTTGAGCAGGCTTTGGAGAATCCAAAGGAGATTAAGATAGTTGCTAGCGGCGTTAAAACTCTGACCATCACCTTTTTACTCGCTCTATCCTGTAGCTTGTGTAGCGCTGATAATCATTTTAATTCAATGCCATCCCCAGTTGTCTCTTTAATTTCTCCTGTGGGTCCTGGCTTTATCATTTCTCGCACTGTGCTAATTGTCTACAATTCAGATTATTTTTTACGTTATTACATCAAATCTAAATCAGTAATGTCAAAAAGACAAGCAAATGGGGATTCAACCGAAGCTAAGCGCAAAGTTCGAGAACAGTCTTACATAGAGGAGTTTGGTCCTATCTTGACAACAGATGACCAACAACTGTTGGAGGATTGGTTGGATACCGATGAAACTACACCACTTCCAACCGCAACAACCGTTATTGATATGAACAACAAAGAGAGCGAGGAATGGAAGTTGGTTGCGAATAATCCGGCAGGCACCTCAACAGCGCCTAAATTTTATTCTGTCTTGACTCTACCAGCCGAACAATCTTTAAAAAATATTGGAGATAAACAACAACAACAATCTTTAATGGCTGCTCCACCGCAACAACAAATTGGAGAAACTGGTAAGTCAGAATCTATGGGGGAGATTAAGGGACAAATTGTGGATAATTTAGCTTCATCACGGCTAGAAAGCCGATTAGCGAAGGAAAAGAAAGCTCGTCATGAAGCCGAGGCTAAAGCTAAAGCCGTACAGGAGGATAGAGCGGAGCAGAAGCTTCTGTTGCAGACAGTATTAGCCTTGCTCCAGTCGAAAGGTAATGAGAAGAAAGAGACAGAATCCACCCCAATTTTAGGTCCGAACATCACGGCCAGTGCGCCGACCATTGCTGTAGCGCCATCAGATTTTTCTGTTCCTCCACCAGCGCCCTTACCTCTTAAATCTGTGGCGGTGCCTAGCGGGCGCCATAAGCAAGAAAAACTCGGCTTAAACCAGTCCAGCCACAGTATAATCCGAAACCGCCCGTTCGTGCCCCGCTCCGATGGACAAGGGTCTTCACGGCAAAGCGCCGGCTCCCGTATACCTAACTCGGCAAGAGCTGTCGAGACCCACCTCCATGCAGTCCGTGAATTGGCTCGTCAACTTGTGGAGGCAGTTGGAAACGCCCGCGCTGAAATCAATATGGACCGCCTGGGAGAGTTTAATGCCGAATTTGTCCAAGAGGTCCTCGCGGTCGAGGCCGCGGCTAGAATTATGAAGCGGACGATTAAGACGGCTTTTTTGCATTTAAACATACAACCTTGAAATGTAAAGGCCGGCGGGGGGAATGTGCGTAAACCGCACAATTTTACTTAAAATTTATTTTTTATTATTTTTAACTTTTTCAATAAACTCCGCCCCCGCCGGCCTACCAGCTAAAATTGACAACTCCGGTTGTCACTTGCTTTTTTGTTAACCTTCACATATATTTTGATACCCGCTTATATATTTGGATAATTTTTAATTAAATAAATTTTCTTCTTTTTCTAAATTGTTTTTTGTTTAATTCTAGGGTTAGGGAGTTAGGGATTAAAATTAAATTGCCATATTTGGCACAGAGCTTTATATTTATCTAAAATATATTTAACCTTAATTTTTCTAAAATTAAAGCAGTTCTCATCGTAAAGCTTTGAAAATGGAATATGATTGGATTTTGAAACTTTTTCATAAAACACAAATTAACAACCCAGTTGTCATTACAAATATTAAAATTAACAAAATATGTCCAAATATTAATTTAAATAAAAATTGAATTTTAATATATTTAAATATGTATATGGAAAAAATTTTATTTGTCTGATTTAAATTTAATAAAAATTATTATTTTTTCTCTTTCGCAAAATATCTATCCTCTCTTTTCAGGCACAAGTGTTTTATATAATTTTTCATTTTCACCGAGAACAAGTCTATCACACAATTCTCTTCCCTAAATTTTTAAATTAAAAATAAAATTTATTTTTAATTATTTACTTGAATAAAACAATGATCTTGATTGGATACTTCATATTTCCACCCACCAAAACGCCCTCGACTATAAATTTGGAATTCTTCGAGAATTGAATGGCAACGAGAAAGTTCTGAATCTCTCTTAAATTTTAATGTTTTTTTGATAAAATTTTATTTTTTTTTGAAATACTTGAATTGTTGGAATAGGATAACCATAAGGTAAGGTAATTGAGAAAATTGAAACAATTTTATCTCTTTTTATTATATGTAGTTTTTCTTATAAGTCCTTCTACAGCTTGATCACGAATTTCTCTTCTGTTGCCTTTAAAAGTTTTAAAAAAATTAAAATTATGTATGTATAGAAAATAAAAATTTCATGTTAATAATATAGTATATGAATATTTTACATCAATAATTTTAGAATTGGGGGGGGGGGGGGGGGTTATGTCTGTAATTTTAGAACTTCGGGGGGCTATGTCTGACTATGGAGTTTACAATTTTTCGAGGTTGGGCGGGATAAAATTTCATTCGGAAAGAGTCGTGGGTTTGGAGTAGAGTAGGTCGAGGCCTCGCCGAGGCCAGCCTCGGTGATCCTCGGTCTCGGTCTTTTCAAAAACCTCGACCTCGACCTACTCTAGTTCGGAGTACAACTTTAATTAATTTTAATTACTTTCATTTTAACATTTTATCGCTAAATTTTATTAACTACTAACCGGATCATCAAAAGGTAATGCACAATCACACATTACAGACCAATATTTGCTACTATCTGGAGTAACATCTCCATAACTACAGATATTTCAATTAGAATTATTTTAAATTCAAATTTTACCGCGAAAAGAAAGTAACTCGATAAAAAGGAACTTTTGGATCAGGAAAATATAGCCAAGTAAATTTCTTTTAAAATATATAATTTTAATATAGATATTTTAGATTTAATATTTTTACCTGACAAAATTCAGTAAATGGCAACTCTAACCCAACACCAACAATAATTACCTTTAAATAATTTTAAAAAATAATGAAAAATCCATTGAATATCTATTTCGATTTTTAAAAGAATTTTTAATTTTCATGGCTACAGTCTGGAGCTTTAATTTCCAATTTGGAAATTATTTTCAGTATTTTCCAGTAAAATTCTTTCAATTTTTTTTATTATTTACCTTATTATGCTTTAATTGTAAAGGAGTACATATTTTTGATTGTTCAACAAGTAAATCTATCGGTCCAGAATTAATTAAAACATCATAGCTAAGACGATGTTCTCTTCCTTCAGTATTTGTGTATACTAGCCTTTTTTTGTTGTAATCAATTTTGATCACCTTTTTTTAATTTTTAAATTTATTTTTATTAGGATATTCACTCTTTCACAAAATCCCTTTAATTAATATCTCTGTCTGAAACGAAATCAATTCTCGAATAAAATTAAGAGAGTGTTGACTAATATAATTTTTTAAATTAATTTTACACACTTTAGTACCATATTTGAACCACTTTGAAGGCAACATTTGTTCCATCTTTTCCCAAACAGCACATGTACCGCCATATTTGGGGAACTTAAATGTAGTTAATGTTTGATATTATTTTAATTAAAATATTTAAAATGTTCCCAAAACTCACTGTAAAATGAGTATTTGGTCCCCAACCAAAATCCGCCTTCTGTAAATTAAAAAACAATTGATAGGGAATGTAATTTTTAAATTTCTTCTTTCACTAAAATGGAAACTCTTTCACTAAGTTTATTAAAAGCACAAAACTCTTTCCTTATTTATTTTTTAAATAATTTTATTTAATTATTTAAATACTTTTAATTCTTCCTTTCCCATTTCACATAATTCTTCAAGTTTCTCCTGTGGTAACTTAGCAACTCTAGTTCCGACCCACGAACATGACCTTTTAATTAAAAAATATTTTGTTTCCTTTTAAATATTTTTTTCACATTTTGGAAGTATCCACCGTCCAAACTTTTTTTGTATATGGCTTGAAGAAAATCTCAAGTATTGAAGGACCAAAGTGATGGAGAACCCAACTTTCAAAATCAGTGGGAGATGATTGAGAGATGTTTTGCTGCTTTTAATTAAAAAATTTTCTTTTAAATTTATTTTATTTTGAGGAATTTTCTAATGAATTTTAAATGTATGCAAAATTTTCAATTTAAAAAATTTTCCAAATTAAATTTATTAGTAAAGTTATTTACATCTTCATATCGTTGCTTTAATTCAGACAAACATTTCCTTTTTGTTTCTTCAGGGAATAAAGGGACAGCAAATTGGGCTGGATATGGAACGAGATTAATGCCTTAATTAATCGAATAAATTAAATTATTTTTAAATATGGATACCAGGTTCTCCATATAAATAATTTAAGTCAACCATACAATTACGTTCTAAATTATTCCATTCTTTTACTGCTTCTTTTGTTGCTAAATTTTAATTAATTAAATAATTATTTAAGGACTAAAAACCTTTTTCGTAATAAGGAAAATTATGTGAAAATGTAATATGTCCACCCATATCCCAAAGAAATCCGTGTTCATCTCGAATCTTTAATTTAAATTAATTTTAAAAATTATTAAATATCTTTAATAATTTTTCCTTTTTTTTTAATTAATCTAAATATATTGACAGTTGAAATGTAGAAGTAACTAATCTAAAAATCTTTCCTTAAAAGTGTAAGTTTTAATATGCGAAAAGTAACTTTAATGAACGAATAGGTATATTAATATAGTGGGGCCTTAAGTACCCATTTGGTGTTAAGACAACTGTATCTGATAAAATAATTTAATTTTTTAATGACATTATTACATCAAACTGTATTTACTATAATTTTATTTAAAACAAAATTTAATTAAAGAAAAATAAATTTCACCGTTCCAGAAAGCCCCCCAGGTTTCATTTCCTTCTCCAAAACAATTAATTCAATATCGTCAACATTTTCAATTCCTTCTTTTATGATTTCATTTAAGCGATAGGCAAAGCCTAATGTTGTTGGAGCACAACCAATACACACAATTCTCATTTTTTTTAATTTAATTATTTAAAATTAATTATTTTACTCAAGTTTTTAATAAAAAAATTTTAATAAAAAATATTATTAAAATGTCTGTGAAGATATAAATAAACTAATTAAATATTTTATCTATTTGAACGTCAAATATAAACTGGTCATCAAAAGATATATCCCTACATTAATCTCTCTCTTTTTCTATTTATTTTTAAAACCCTTCTCGACATATACATTTTCAAATATATTTAATAAATTTTGCGCAAATTCCAACAATATTAGAGATGAAAAAATAAATATAAATAAATATCCGGGTTGACATTTTATTTTCTTGTCTGTTGGCACCAATTACCGATGATTGATAAAGAACGAAAGTAGAGAGATAGATAATCTAGACATGTGATTTTATTGATATTTTTAAATGAACAGTGATCGTTTTATATTTAAAATAGCTGATAAAGCAAGAAGGAGAACATTTAAAGTTGCTGTTCTGACAGTCGAAAGTGTCCTAAACTAATTCGAATGTGCTTTTCGAGATGATGCAGAATTGTTTAAACTCAATTTTGGTACAACCCATTTCCTCTTGACAGAAAGAATCTATTGGCAACAGAATATTGAAACAAGTTACTGATTAACACCTACCACATTTTTGAATTTTTGACCCTTATGTGGAAGGGTAGAAATGAAGTTATTTCAAACTTAATATCTATTTTGTCAATAAATCTTGTTTTGTACTAAATTTGTTGTGTATCTAAGGGCTCAATAAATTTATTATAATTTAATTTATCTTCACTATAGTGAAAAATAATTTAATTAATTTACTTATTATAATTTAATAAAAATAAGATATTTTAAAAATAATAATACATAAATATAGTTATTTATTTTTCTTTAATTATTTAGACAAATCTGTTTACATTATTTTATGTTAGCTGTAAAATATATGCTCTAATAATTACCCCGGGTAATTATTGTTTCGATCTCTCGCTGGAGGGAGTAATTAATAGAGCAGATACGGTACTCTCAATTTCTTGCTTAAAAAATATTGTTTTGCAATTTTATGCATTTACTATCAACCTAATTTTAATATTCAAAAAATATCAAATATCAAGCAGATGTTTATTTATTAAATTTATTTTATATTCATTTAATATTTAAATTATTAAAAAAAAATTTTTTTTAGCCTCCCACTTAAATTACTGAATTATACATTGTAAATATTTACAATAAGAGTTAATATATAATTAAGAGTTAACGACACGGATATTAAACAAAAAAGGGCAGATGTTTTAAGTAAATATAATAATAATTAAATTTTAAGTAATAATTTAAATGAAAAAAAATTTTACATCATAATTTTTTTCACAATTTTTTTCTAAATTTTAGAAAAAAGAATTAATTTACTTTTTACTTATCAAGTAAACGTTGTTAACTGTTTCTCAGTTTTATACGGTATTTATGTTTCTACGATTTATGTTTTGGGTTTTGTTAGGGCTCGGCAAAATCAAAATATGATTAAAATTTTGTCAGTTTTTGAGGCAAAATCCAGTCAAAATGTTTATTTAAAATTATTTGACTGGATTTTAGTAAAGTCAAAAATTGTTATAATCCTACTGTGATTGAAAAAATTTTTTCTTTTTCATAAATAAAAAAATAAAAATCTATTAATAAAATTAATGTATACATATTATGAAACAATCAAAACAAATCTCTCTCTAAAAATTTTAAATTATTATTTATAATTACCGTAAATCCTCTAAAATAGACCCCGGGGCTTATTTTTTTCGATCGACCTCTAGAGGGGACTTATTTTAGAGGGGGAGGGGCTTATTTGGGAGGGGGGCTTATTTTTCGATGTCTAAATTTTTGAAAAACTAAAATTTATTACCAAACATTTAGAAAATATTTTTCTAAAATTCAATAAAAGTCATCCCATACCAAGTCTTTTCAAGAAAAATCCTTGTCCAAAAATTCATCAAGTACTCTGTCAATTGATCCTTCAGCTTAGATATGCCTTTAAGTTGGAGATATCGGAGAATTAAGGTGAATAATGAGACATTTAGAGGGAGCATTTCGTGTTTTGGGAATAGGTAGGGATATCAAGGAATTTTGGAGGATTAAGAGATGTCGGTGGATAAAGGTTAAAAAGCATTTTCAAAATTAAAAGGATTATTAATGTAGAGGGGGCTTATTTTAGAGGGGGCCTATTTTAGATGATTTACGGTAAGTTAAGCAAACATTTTTTATTCATTTATTTGGCAGAAACAAATTTAAAAAATATTATGGATATAAAAACATTTGTCTTTAAAACAATAAATTTATTTACTGACACTATTGGGCTTTTAATTTTTGGAAATGTTGTTTATTTAACTATAAAATATAAGTAAATTTTTTTATTTTAATAAATTAAATTTTTAATAAAATAAAAATTAAAAATTAAAATTTGGGGTTGTTTTTAGCTAATATTATTAATTTCCATAAAAATTGCAGAAAGAATTGACAGAAATACTAAAAATATCAAATATAGTTTAATATAAAATTATTGGAAAATTTTGAAAAATATCGAAATGAAAATATTTACAATGTTTAAGAAAAATATTAATAACAAAATTTTAACCTTTCAGAGATCTCCATACACTTTGCCACATTCTTCTTGGGCTTTATTCTTTATCTCAAGCCTGCTCTAAAGTCGTTCTGTTACCGAATTATATACTTTATGTTCTGCAAAGCACAATTCCTCTTTATGTTTGTGTTTTAATTGTTCTAATACCTAAAGCATTAATGATGGGTGTTTTTACTTTTATGGTAGCAATTGGAATTGATAGAATGCTTGGAATTTGTTTTCCTTTTTGGTTAGTTCTATGTTGAAATCAAAATAAAGAATTCATCTCAAGACAAACCTAAAATACATAAGGTTTTGTGTAAAGAGTAGTATAAGAACTATTTTCCGGGCTAAATCGAGCTCAACTTTTCTGGTGTTTAGAAACCTAAAATTTCCTAGCACTTTTTTACCAGTTTTCAATAACCTTGTGGTTACCTAATAATTATTATATTTTTAAAAATATAATTTTAATTTTATTTAAAAGGTATATGCAAAATACGAGCAAACTTTATCGGATTTTATTAATAGGAACACCATTTACTTATCCTTTGTATTATTTATATTTGATGATTCAAGATTTGCCAAATAATAGGTTTAAATATATAATTTTAAATATTTTTAAAAAATTTTATTTAAAGTCCTTCTAATTGTTTATTAAATTACAACGATAATGTTGTAACAATCACTCCATTTGTTTGTGTTATTTCTACATTATTTTGCTATTTAATTATTTTATTAAAAGCGATATTTGGAAAGGATCCGATAGGTAATTAATTTTAAGAAAATATATTTAACGGTTACGGCACTTTCGGTTCAGTTTATCAGTTCGGTTTCGGTTAACCGAATAATTTGATACAACTTTTCTTAAAAATACTAGAAGATCAACATTAATTTGGTCGCAGGTTCGTTTCCTGCCCGGTGGCTAAACTTTTGTAAACTCTTTCTATACTTTTATTCAAAGGTCAATCTCTGCGTGAAGCAATTTTAAAGTCTTCAGCTACATTAATTTTTATTCAAAATTTTGGTTGGATCTGTACTCTTGGTTTTCTCTTTTATATTAGAAATTATGTTAAAGACAATGATCTAATATTACTCTACTGGAACTTTGCGAATATTTTTTCTTCTTTAATTACTATTATTGAAGTTACTTCTCTTTTTATTACTAGGTATGTTTTGAAAAAAAATAAATTTGATTTTCATATAGCTAAAAATAAAACTCTATTAATTAAATAAAACTCTGAATTATGATTACCCTCCATTGAAATTACACCCCTTAGTTATGTATGTATACAGTGATGGGAAAGTTCCAAAATTTCTCTGGAACTAGTTCCAGTTCCAGAACTAGGTTTTTAATTTTAGTAGTTCCAGTTCCAGTTCCGGAACTCCATTTTTAAAATTCCTTAGTTCCAGTTCCAGTTCTGGAACTAGTTCCAAGCTAGTTCTAGTTCCAAATTTTTTAATTTTTTTGAATATGAAAAAAAAACTCATCAAGTACTCTGTTAGTTGATCCTTCAGCTTAGATATGCCTTCCTTGTATATATCCCATTGTTCTCTATAGTCTATTACGATTAAAAAGGATTAAGAAAGAGGATTAACATTTTAAAAAGGATTAAAAAGGTTCCAGATAATCGTTAGTTCCGTAGCTCTAGTTCTGGAACTGGAACTAGAACTAATTGGTTCCGGAACTGTAGCTGGAACTTTGCCCAGCCCTGATGTATACCCCAAGTACTCTCTTTAATTTACAAAAATTCTTAACTTTAATTTTTCTAAAATTAAAGCAGTTCACATCTTAATGCTTTGAAAATGGAATATGACTGGATTTTGAAACTTTTTCATAAAACACAAATTAACAACCCAGTTGTCATTACAAATATTAAAATTAACAAAATATATCAAAATAGTAATTTAAATAAAAATTGAAATTAAATGTTTAAATGTACTTTAATATATTTAAAAAAAAATTATTATTATTATTTGTCTGATTTAAATCTAATAAAAAAAATAAAAGCAATAAATAATTATTCTGGTTTAAAAAAATAATTTTAATGAAATTCTAAATAAATAAAAGACTAGAATTAATTAAAATAAATAAAAATATTTTTAAATAAAATTAAAAATTAACATTTATTTTCATTAAAATTTAAAGAATAACAAGAAGTTAAACAATCCTGAATTGAAGGGTAAAAACATCTCTCAGGGATTTTATTGAAAAGAGAACAACGATGGAAAATATTTAAAATTGAATCTGAAAATAAATTAAAATATTTTATTTTTAATTTAAATTCAAACTGAGATTAGAAAATTGGTTAATTAGGAATATTTTGGTTTAATTTTGAAAAAATTTCTGAGCATTCCAGAATTTGTTTTTACCAAAAAATTCCGTAATTTAGACCCTAGTTACATTTCCCCATTGACACTATAACAATTTCCCTCCCATTCACAATATTAATACCCACACTTAAAATAATGTATAATCTCGATTATAATTACCAAATATAACGACAAGTTAGTTAAAATTATTATGTATTGGATCTAGTTACTAAAATACAACCAAAAACTTTGTTCCAAAAAATTTAATTTTAAAAATAATTTCAAATATTTTTAACGAATTATTTTCACTATTTAAAATTAAATAATTAAATACTCAAAGAATTCCTAAAAATATCTCAATTATTTTTTATTTAACATTAAAACACCTGAAAAAGCAGCAAATTTAATTAAAATATTTAATCTTTCAGTATCCAAATAAATTTCAATAAGAGAATCAATTCCAGCAGCGTCAATATGGGAAATAACAGAACAATCCAAAATTAAAATTCCTTTAATTGTTAATTGTTTTAATGAAAGGGAGGAGGAGGAAGATGATGAATTATTTGAATTAATATTTCCAATAGTATCAAGTTCCAAATCTTTTGAAATTGATTTCTAAAAAATTATTTAATAAGAATTTTTGGTACTTTTCCGTTAATCAACCGCAAACTGACAAATGATTAACAGCCGAATTTGAACAGCTATAAATTTTTGATGCTTGATCCAATACAAATGAATTTATATCATTCGAAAGCCCTCAATAAGCTCTATCTTTTACCCAACTGTATGGGTAAGTTCTGATCACTCATAAAAAGTTACAAGTCGATAAGTGCAAGAAATCATTGTTTAACACTATTGTCGGGGTATAAATTTTTATTAGTGATCAGACCTGGTCAATACATACAGTTGGGTAAAAAATGGAGCTTATCGAGAGCTTTCGAATGTTATAAAAAACATCTGTATTGGATCAAGCATCGTAAAGTTATAGCTGTTTAAAGTCGGCTAATACTCAGTTTGCGGTCGACTAACGGAAAAAATTTTTTTAGATTTAAAGTTCTCACTAAAATCTACATCTTCTTTATATTTATCCTACCAAAATTCACCTTTTCCTCTCCAGTATCAGAGAATTTATTCAAAATTTTAATATTATCAAAATTTCCCATTGAAGAGGAATTTTTTAAAATTTTTTGACAAATTTCAGCTACGGAATCTACTAATTTTGAAGCGTTTCCAAAATGTAAAGGGGACTCAAATCTCCAAATCTGAGCATTAATTTGAATTCCTGGATCACTCAAAGCTAAGAATTGGATAAATATTAAAATTTTAAGAGAAAATATAACCATTATATAAATTTAATGGACGAAAAACTCCCTCAGCTTCGTTATCTCCACCAATTCTTGAAAATTTTGGCCTATAAAGAAATAAATATATTATTTAATTTTGGTGGAGGATTAGTTAATCATATTGAAATAGTGGATCTTGAACGATTCAGCAAGATCTATTTATAAGGTTACAATCGTTCTTAATACATAGAAAGAAAAGAGAATAATAACTAGATACTTCAAATTAACTATTTCCATTTAATAAAAAATTTATTTTAAAAATAAATAACCATTGTTCTTTAAGTATAATAGACAAAATAGAGAAAAACAAAGAAATAATAAGTCCAAAAGTAATATTAAGAAATGCGGTTGTTGTAAATGCAATTATCCAAATTAACTGAAAAAAAATTAATATATTCCAGTTAATTAACCAAAAATTTACAAAATCAAATAAATTAATTTTCCATAATTTTGGTAATTCTTTGAATTGAAGAAAAAGAGGTTTAAGACTAACTACAACAATACACCCAAGTACAGCAATTGGAAGAGGTTCAAGTAAAGGACCAATCCAAAGAATAACTACAAGGAGTAAAGCGCTAGAAAAAAGTGCATGAAACTGGAAAAATAAAAAGAAAATAAAAAATTATTGAAGTTTTACTTGTGTTTTAGCTCCTGTAATTTCACATAAGGCCGATCTAGAGAGTGAAGCACCAAAGGGAAATACGGGAAATAAAGAAGAAATTAGTGAACACATACTTAGAGCATATAATTCTTGATTAGCATTTAATTTATATTTATGTTTTTTGGAAAAAGTTTTGCCGAGAGAGAAGAGGAAAGCATAACAAATTATTGAAATACTTAGAGAATCTAGCCAAATATGCCGTAAAAGTGTAAGACGAGGAATTGAATAATTTGGCATCCTTTAAAAATAAAATTTCTGGTTATAAGGTAAGGGGTGGGACACAACTGGTTATTAACCTGAAGTAAGAGGCTCGTTTTTGTTTAGACATATCGTTTATTTAATGCTGTTATTGATACTTGTGTAGTTCCCCACCCCCATAAGCCCCGCCCATTGTCTTAACAAGTACCTTGTTTTATTTAATTTGGCCAAAAAAGCTTGTTAACGTACACAAAAACTTGTTAATGTATTAACGACCTTATCCAACCCTAGTTAAAATCTCACCCTTGGGGTACATTCTCAACAATTCTAACTCCATAATTCTTTTTCAACCCAACAGTTGCTGAAAGAATTATTGCAGCAATTACCTATAAAATACTTTTAGAAAAAAATTCATTTAAAAAACCAAAAAAAGTTCCAAGGGTAAAGGTATTTTGAAACGTTTTCTAAATATTGGATTAATCCAATCACGTCCAATACTTAAAAAAATAAGACCAAATATGGAAATACAAACAGTAAATATATTAATATTTGAAGCAGAATTAAATAAATCTTTCCACATCTGTGAAAAACACATAAATATGGACACAATTTAATATTAGACTCACAAATAAAACTAATCCAGGGCCTCCATAACTTTTAACTTTAACACCAATTAATTTATCCAATTGTGATGTTAATACATGTACAGCGGCGCCAGTAGTGAAACCAGAAATAAGAGAATCAGAAATGTAATTAGTTATGAAGGATAAACGAAATATAGCCATTAATATCTTTAAAAAAATAAAGTTATTCCAAAATTATACTTAAAAAGGTTTTAGTGTACTTCGAATACCACGATATCTCCTTTTTTCTCCTTAATTAGCTCATGTTTCCCTCAATCCTTATATCCCCATAATTCCTCTTTTACTTTAATCATCGATATCCAGTTTGTTCACTTCACTCTCTTACTGAGGATATTTTTCCCCCAAAAATTTTTAAGTGGGGCTTTATTATGGGCTCTAACAGAGGGTGGGGCTCTAATATAGGGAATACGGTATTTAAATACTTCCTTTCATTATAATAAAATACAAATTTTTTTACTTCGGCATTTTTAATATCTTCAATTTAAATTTATTTAAACACCTGAAATATGCCGACCCCAAAAGTTAAAGCACTTATTAAAACTAAAGGTGTTAGGGGTTCCTCTTCAATAATTAAAGTATTTGTATTGTTATTATTCCCATTTTCTGGTATTAATTGTGAACGTAAATTCCCAACCATCATACTAGCCACAGCAAAAGTACCTCAACAAACATTTATTTTAATTTAAAAATTAATGAAGATACCAATAGAAACATGCGGGGAAGTACCAAAAAACATATAAAAGAAGGCAGGAAAAAAGCAGGAATATAGTCCATAAACTGGAGGTACTTTAGCTAATGTTGCATATGCCATACCTTTAATTAATTTGAGAGAGGGAATATTTTTTAAATAAAATTTTAACAAAAATTAAAGATTAAGTAATCCACACCCTGTGGGACAACCATAATTCCAACAGTTAATCCAGTAATTAAATCACAATGTAAATATTGCCTCCATTTATAGCTAGGTAACCAACCAAAAATTGGTAAAAGATTAATAAATACTTTTTTTACATTTTCTTTTTTAAAACATCTGCTTGGAGTTAAATTTTGTAAAAAAGGGTCTAATTTTGAATTTAATTGTTTTTGCTGTTTATTTTTGCTGGATCTAGTTATGTGGCCATATTTTTCTTCAAATTCAGCCTATCAAATAAATATAAATTAACGAATTAAGTTAGAAAAACTTAAATTTGTAAAAATAAATGTTTACTTTGAATTAAGGTTAGACCCGGATCCTTCGGGATCGAAAAGTTTGGGGTCGCCTTTCGGTGTTTAAAATGTTGGTGTCGGGTTCGATAAAATCATTTGGGGTCGGGATCCAAACTGATCCAAGTTTATAATACTTTGCCCTTAGTTGAGGTAATTGTGTATGGGTTTGTGTATGGGCTTTCCGTTTTGCAATTAATTAAAAAAAATATATTTAAAAATTTAATATAAAATAAATTTTTCAATCTGTACATGATAATGTTGCTCGGATATCACGATCCCGAGGTCATCCTGATCCTACTCCCGTTTCCCGGGTTTTTCCTCTCCCGAACATCATAATATCACCTGGTTCATTATTTTTCAACTTCTGTTCTCAAAGAAAAGTGTTGATAAGAACACAATAAATACGTAAAATAAATATATTTTTTTAAATAAAATTTTAGAAAATAATTTAATTGTAATTTGTTAAATACTCAATTTTATATGTTTTTAATTTAAAAAAAAAAGTTCTTCAACCTTTTTAATCTTTTACATTTGAAAAATTAAAGAGAATTTTACTCATCATTAAAATTAAATTGACGAAAAAAAAAGGAATTTATAAATTAAATTGCGTGGTGGAAGGTAGAGGAGGAGAGGGAGAGATTTATTTTATTATTTGACAAAAATAAAATAAATTGAGAATTAGAAGAGGGAAAGGAATATTTTTTGTTTAAAAAAAGCAAAAAAAGAGGACGAGAATCATCGATTAACATTAAAAAATTGCTTAGGCAACTTAAAGCAAATCTATTTTTATTTGTTAAAGCTGCTTCTTTTAATTAATATGTAACTAATTATTATATTTAATGTTTGATGGTTAAAAAACAAATTCACTTTATTTTAATTTTATTAATTAAAGTAGGCGATGGAGGGAGTGGGAAGGGATTAAAGGGAGAGGAATCTTTAAAGAGATTTAAAATTTGTGTGTTAATTAAAATTGAGAATCTCGACTTTGGGTAAAGATATGGGCATAATTTTTAATTTTATATAATGTCAATATTTGTTACAATTTTTTGTAATTTTTAAAATCTAATTTTAGAAACATTAAATATTCATAAAGTGGTTGTAATTTTGCATAGGTTAAAATGCAAATTTTTGTCTAAAATATTTTAAAATAAAAAATCGGCCAAAAATACATAAATATCTTGTTAATTATTCACTAAAAGAGTGTATTCAATTTTTAAAAAAATTCAAACCACTGCCACTAAAATTTTTCCTAAAGAAAGGGGTGGAAAGAAGAAGGAAGAGGCACATTTTTTCCTAATATGTATGAGAAATCAGAATCTGATTAAATTAGTTTTTTCATTTATTCTTTCTAATAAAAAATAAGTAATTGTTTTTAATATTTATTTTCAAAAAATTTTTTGTTCAGCAAAAAATAATTAAACAACAAATTAAAAAGATAAGAAAAAAAAAGAATTTTTATTTTGTGAATGAAAAGATTCAACAAAAAATAAAAACAAAAAAGATGTTTGATAAATATTTTTTAACAAATACTTTTTATAAATTTATTTCTTTTATTTATTTATTTAATTTAGAATTTTAAAAATAAATTTTTAATTAAAAATGTAATTTTCCTGTAAAATTGCATCATAAAAGATTTTTTTTATTCCTTTTTAAAAACAAATTAATTTAGATTCAAAAAAGTAAAATTTTATCAATTTATTTTTAAATTCCTTTTAATACAGTCAGCTACAAAAGTGTGGAAAAAATATTTTATTTTTAATTTTAAGTAACAAAAGAAAATAAATCTACAACCTAGCGAGCACCAAGAATATATTAAAGAAAAAATAAAAAAGAGAACAAGACCTAAATAATTATTTTCGAGATTTAATACACCGAAAATGAAATTAGGTATATCACGGATAAATACGTAGAAACTATTTTATTTTAATAGAAAATTTGATTTTAATAAGAATATATTGGTGACTATTGTAAATATGTAATTACTAGGAATCTAGAAAATAATTTGTTAATTAGATAATTTAAAAAATAACAAAATTAAAAATTTATTTACTATTAAAAAATTGTTAATTAAATGATCAAAAAATTAAATTAAAAAATTTAATAAATATCATTAGTTATAACAGGAATTTGGCGAATAATAAATATTTTTGTTTACATATTTGAATTTTTAGTGAAAATAAAATTAAAAATTGTTTTAGTAAATATTTTTAAAAATAAATATTAGTTATTTTGTAATCTTCTGCTTCATTGGTCCCTAGAAAAACTAGAAATATGTTCTTTCGACATTTTTTATGTTGCTAGGTAATCGAATGTGATGAGTCCTAAAGAGCTTAGAATTTCTAATTTCTAACCCCCACCCCCCCCCCCCCCCCGAATTCGAAACAATTTAAACGGTGTTATAATAAGTCAAGATTTTTTTATTACTAGCGTTTATTTAGTTGATCATAAGTACAGCTTAGTAAAACATTTTTAGAAATTTGGATGTTCTCTTAGCCTAACGAATCCTACCGAATCGGTAACCCAAAATTGGAAAAATTAAAAGAAGAGAGCATGGAAAAGTAAGAGAAAAAGACAAAATTAGCTCTCATTTAATACTTTGGCGTTGTGCAAATAAAAGACATTATTGGCACTGAAACTACCCGAATAAAGGAAAAAACTTCCCTACATAACGTCCCTTCCCCTGAAAATTTATTTTTGGTTCGCCCTATTTTTTCATTATTATTTTCCCTTTTTTTGCTGACTCATATTCTTTAAAATGTTTAATATTTTTTGATAATTTTAAGATCATTTATATTGGTTATTTTTTTGTTGACTTTTATTCCTTAAAAATGCAGGAAATAATTACAATAATGACTGGCCAATGCGGGAACCTAATCGGGTCAAAGGTATTATGAGTAACTTTTGAATATTTTACGCCCTTCTCTTTTAAGATGTCAGAGTATCAACACTACCAAGATGCGCCAGCTGATAAAGAACGAGTTGTAGTTTATACACCGAAAAAATGGAAACAAACACGTTTAAAGTTTGTTTTTATTTTTAAATATCCATTTAAATTTATTAAATTAGTTCATCGGATGCTGAATTTGAATATAATCTGGTAAATGCTAGTTGGCGATCTTCCCGTCGATAAAGAGTGCGCATTTTTTTCCCTTGAATTTTTGTTTATCTCGCTTTTTTCCCTTTTTGGTATAATATGCCTTTATCGCTTAGAAATTATATTCAAAGTCATCGCCAACTGGACATTTACCTATAATCTTATCCTTAATTATTCCTTAGGTTTATAGAATATAAACAGTTTATTAATATTTAGGTAGTTTTCGGGGTGGGCGAGGTGGGTGTACTTCTGTTGGCAATGCTGGGCGAGCTCGTGATAGTTCTAAGCTAGATGCTGAAGGAGGGAATGGAAGATTTGAAAAGTAAAATTTTTTATTTGGATATTTTTATCTATTATTTTAGGAGAACACTAAGGCGTTCAGCAGGCTCTGATTCAAATGGTAGACGTTTAGATTATGACATTTCTCCAGTTCGTGGTGGCGGCAGTGAAGATATTTCTGTCAAAGGAAATCGTGATCATGACAATAATAAATTAATTTTAATATTTTTTTAAATTGTTAACATTTAATTTTTTTTGAAAATAATTTTTATTTAATTTGTTTTTCTGCTTTTATAAACCCTAAACTTATTAATCGGTACACCTCAATTGAGTCCGCACGATTGAGTCAGGGTGGCCCTTTCCAAAACACTAAAATAGGGCGCAGTCACCCAAAAATAGGGCGAAATCGGCCAAAAATAGGGCATTATTTAAAAATCTTAAAAATAATTAAAATTTCAATTAAAAAGCTTTATTCTATATATCTTTGTACCCCGAGACATATCAAATCATATATAATAATCCCTAAAATATTGATCGAGCAAAAAGTTATGGCCAAAAACCCCAAATACTGAACCGTCGATACTGAACCGTCCCCTACCCATCGAGACCCGGTCCTTCTCCTAACTTTTTTGAAGATGCCAGGATGAAACCGGGTTTGGGAAATCCCGGTTCCGGGCCGGGTTTCTTCTGCTAAATTTCCCGTTCCCGGTTTTTCCAAAATTCTGCTCTCTAGTTGAAGCTAGTTTTCACGCGTGCGTCAACGGGCTGATATTTCTATGCTAGTAAATATTTTCTTTTTTTTTTATTTTATGGAATGATCCAAAAATAATTTTGACATTTTACTTCAATCAAAATATTTTCTATCAACATTTTCTTTTAAAAAATGAGTGGAAAACAGCCACCAAAACAAAGTTTTCACCCAATTAAAAATGAAATAATTGAAAGGTTTGTTTTTCTTTTAATTTTAAAATTAATTTATTTTTTTAGCGAACCAATTCCTGGAACTTCAACTACAAATTTACAAAATTTGACAGACTTGAGAATTCGGAATTCTTTAAATACAATTTTAATTCAGCCAAATAATCAAGATGTTTTGGCTAGTTCGCAAATGAGACCTCCAAAATCAGGTTATCTAAATATTTTATTTATTTTTTTGTCTAATTTTGAAGAATATTTTTGATATTTGAGTTCGTAATAGATATCGGAATTTTTGAAAAACCTGGGCCTGTTCCTGAGTTCCGGGCTTAATTTATTGATTTGGGCCGGATCCTGTGCCTGAGACTCTGTGTAAAGGAAAAACCCAGGCCGATCTCTAGTTCGTAATTAGTTTTAGAATATAATTTTAATATTTTAAGCTAAATAAATTTATGTAAATTGGAGATAGGGTAGTTCTGCTCAGAATTTAATTTTTGATTTCTCTTTCAAATGTCTAATTTTAAGTTAATCTGTAAATAAAATAATTTATTCCTTTTTTAGATTTGACGAATTTTTGGTGTTTGGTTTATTATTATGAAATGAATGAACGTGTATGATTTTAATTGTTTTATTTTTTTATTTATTTTTTAAAGGTTGGTGAAGTTTTCAAATCTGAATGGAAACAGGAACTGAATGAAAATCCACAGTTTGTTTAAAAAATTTTTTTAAGTTGGGGTTGACTTTATAAATATTTTTGAGAATGTTAATTAATTAAATAATTCCCTTTCACATATGTCATTATTATTTTTGACAAGAAAATATTCCTAATTTTAGACTTATAATTGATGGAGGTGTTTGTGCTTCAGCAGAAAATACTCGTTTTTGTTTGGGTAATTTATTTTTTAAATTAAATTTTTTAAATTTATTTTTTTAGGTGTTATTGGGAATATAAACAGAAATCCTTTTGTTAGTAAGTAAAAATTAAATCCTTTTTAATTTAAAAAAAATATTTTCAATTTTAGCAAAAGTTGGCCGTTCAATTGGAAAAGGGATTCGGTTAAACCAAAAAGATGAAAATATTTATTTGGAGTCCCTTAGCGATTCTGCTGTTTTTGTTCGTATGTTTTTCTTAATTTTCTTTAAAAAAGTTTTGTAAAATTAAAATTTATTTCGATAATTCACTCAAATTTTTCGTTCTGTAACCGATAATTTTTTTAAAAATTTTAGAATGCCCTCTTTTTGCCCGTAAAAATGGTGATGAATTAGCCACTGTCTACAGACTTAAAGCAAGTGATGCTTCTACCTCTTCCTCTAATGGATCGAGTATTTTATTTTTTAAAGAATTTTTGATTATTTTTTTAAACTTTGTTAATCCTTTTTTAAAGAAATTTCACGGAAATTAAATTCTTACTTCGATTTTAGTTGTCTCCTTGATTCTAAAAATATCAAATGATTTTTCTGATTTTTCTTCAAAAAAATGTTTCCCTAACATTTGATATTTGCTAATTAAAATCTGAATACCTAATTTAAAAATAAATTTAATTTTCCTTTTTTTCAGAACCTTTTTGCCTTTTTGACATGAAAATGTTTGACACTTTATTAACCGAGGCTCGATTACTTGGTTATAATGCTTTGTATATGTTACAGGTTTTTTAAATTAAATTTTTAATTAATTAAATTATTTTTATAGATTTATTGCCTTTGCAGAATTAGTTTTGTTAAAGGTTTTATTTTCTTTAAATAATTTTTTGAATTTATTTTAATTTTAGGTTGGGGACAGGAATATAGACGACAAACAATTAGTTTGTTTTTTTAATTTTTTAAATTAAATTATTTTTGGTCGGGGTATAGAGACTGGGTTTGAGGTTTGTCAGATTCGAGAATCTTTATTTCGATTTTTGAAAGGGATCTCATCTCGGTTTTTTCGGATTAGTGTTTTTTCGGTCAGAGAATCCTCTTAAAAGGCAAAATAATCCCATTTTTTAAATTTTTGGCTAGAGCCCCCCCCCCCCCCGAAATTGTGGAAAGGGGGAAAAATATGTATAAATATACCAATTCACGCAAAAAACAATTCAAAAAAAACTAAAAATATATTCTAATTAATTTTTAGCCTCATGTCCAATGTGGATTGAAGTCCAATTCCCTCGCCCTCTCCAAATTCTAGATGAAGTGCTAATGGAAAATGCTGATGAAATTGGTGGGGAAGAGGTTCACAGTTTCTCTTAAATTTTCTTTTTGGATTAAGAAATTAATTAAAATAAATTAAAAAATTAATTAAAAAAACTTTATTTTTAAATTTTAATATTTAATTTAAAATAAATATTTTTATTGAAATTAAAATTTAAATAAATTTTTATTTTATTAAAATACATATTGTAAACGTTTCAAAATTTTATTAAAATAAATTAAAAATTCAAAAAAAATTATTAAAATTATAAAAAAGAATCTTCAGAACTTGAATATAAAAATTCCTCTTCTTTTGTTTTCCTTCTTTGTACAATACACGAATATATAATTAATCCAATAAAAGCAATAAATAAACTAAATAAAAATACAAAAGGCAATAAAATGCCATAAAAATCGTTGATATTATTTATTTGTTGATAAACCATTGGCCAAATTAATTCTGTAAAAAATTGAGAGAAAATTTTTTCGAGGACCCAAAAATAAAATACCTTAACAAATAGTCTCCATTAACTAAAGTTTATTTAGAAAATCAATTAAAATATTATTTAAGGAAAGTGAGGGTGAAAAGTTTAAGGAAAGAGAAAAGAGAATTAAAATTGAACTTAAAATAAGTTCTCGTTAAAATAAAAAATATATTTTTTAAGGAAGTAAAGAATTAAAACCTTTCTTTTTCATCAAATAAAGAGAAAAAGGAAAAAGAAAAAAACTTTTTAATTTTTTTACTCTCAATAAATTTTTACATTCGCCGAACTAAAAATTTTGTTTATAGTACACATAAGAGGTTTAAGTCAATTTATTTTTATAGTTCCTCCCTCTAAGATAATAAATCATTAATTTTTGAATTTATTAAATTAATAAATTTTTCAATAATTTTTCAATATTTTGGAGGTTGTTTTTGTTTAAATATTTGTAGAAAAAATCTGTCCCGATTCCATAGGTGGTTAAACTATGACAACTCAAAAATTCTTTACCAAGCTAATTATTAAACTAGAAGATTGTCTAAAATTTCCGAAACAAACAAGATCATATTTTATTAAATTTAATGTTAAATTAAAAAATAAACATAATTATATGTAAAAGCTTCCAAATAATTATTAATCGAGAAAATTATTTAAATATATTTTTTCTTTTCAATATTTTTTGTAAACAAAAGTTCCCGTTCCAAAAGAACATTGGGAAGTTGAATTAGATGGATGTCTGCCATTACTTCCAGAGAAAGCACTACCATTGCCAAGTTCAGGAATGCTTGAATATGAGTCTGGTGTTAATGCTGAATTCTGGAAAGTTGAGTAATTTTAGGGAAAAATGTTTTCAAGTAATGGGTTGTCAATCCTTTAACTATTTTTTATTTACAAATTCTACCTGTAACCATCCAGGAACATAAGCACGTAGAGAAACACTTCCCTCTTTTTCATTATAATTCCAATTAGAAGCAAGCTGCATTAAACAAAATCCAAAAGAAATGGAAGCAAAAAACAATAATAATAAACAACTCCAAGCATTTTCTAAAGGTATTCTATCTCTTCGACAATTTTCTTCAGCTAAAGAAATTCGTTCATTAGCAAAATCTTTCAAAAAATCTGTCAAAATTTCTGATTGTTCTTCCTTTGAAAAAACAGAATTTATATGTTCATTTATTGCTTTTTCTTGTCTCATTTTTTGTTCCATAACACAGACAGCGTTGTGGCTATGTGAATGAATTAAAAATGTAGCAGATAATGTTATCGTTATCGGAGAACAAATTAATAAAGTTAATCCTGTCCCTATAAGTAAACGACGAACACGTTTGGCACGATTATTTAAACGTTTAGTTGATAAATGCTCCATTGGGCTATATCGATGTAAACGTTGATTTATTCCTTTTTTAGATAAGAGAAAATATTTTTGTTCGGAATTAACTAAAAACAAACCAATTAAAATACCCAAAAGGGATAATAACATTGAACACAAAAATACAAGTAATAAAATTAAAAGAATTAAAAGTGTCCAGCCAGACAAGAAAATTGGTGAAATTAATGAATGGAATTGATATCCAAGTTCTCTAATTACTTCAAACTATTAAAGAAATTTAAAATTATTTTTTGTAAAAGGATTAAAAAAAGATCTAATAGAGATAATATTTTTTGATTCTATTATCGGAAGTATAATTAAGAGTTTACGTTCCCCTCCCTCGAATAGTTCTCCCTCCCGATTAATTCCCCATGCTAGAGTTGGGTTGAAACAATAATCCTCCCCCCCAACCCAAATACCCTACTGCACGTTCAAATGCCAAAACTCGAATAATCCCCCATCCCATGTATGGGTTGAAATATTAATTCCCCAGAGGAATTGAGCGAAAAATACGGGAGATAAGAAAAAATTCAAAGGCTTTCTAGTCACAAAAATAATTACTTTTTTAAGTGTTTGTCCACCTCCAGGTTCCCCTCCAATTTCTCTTTGTTCTCGTTCAGAAATTTGTGTAGATAATCCATTAGCTGCTGATTCCCCTTCTTCTTCTTCCCCAAATACATCCAAAGCTAATTCTTCTGTTAACAAATTTTCTCCCCCCTTTTTATTTATTTGTTGTTGTTCCCCCAAAATTGTTGATTGCATTGCTAAAAGTTCAACCATTGTAGAGGCAAATAAAATACATCCAAATAATAGTAAAAGCCATAAAGGGATATGGGCGAATAATAAACAACGAAAATTAGTTTTGTGTCCATCTTGTCGTCTTTGATTAATATTGCTACTATTTAATCCAGCTACAGAGAATGAAGCTTTCTACAAAAAGGGAACTTTTTAATTTAAATTTTAGTAATAATTTTTGTATTAAAACTCCGATTTCCGACTTCCGACGTTTTTTCCTTCCGATTTCCGACACTTCCGATCTGGCATCCTGTTCCGACCCACCTCTGTGTTAAAAGAAATGTCTTTCTCATTAAATTAAAATTTTGAAGATGTTGATGGTTATTCGGAAGGATTTTATTTAATTTTTTATTTCTAATTTTACTCTTTTAAATAAAACATTTAAAGTTTTTTATTTAAGAAAAACTTGTATCTTTCCCTTTACTTTGTTCTTCCCCTTTATATTCATTTAAATACCTCATCCAATTTTTGTGTTTGTGTTGTATCAAAAAAGCGACTAAAACGAATACGTGCTAACATTGTAAATAATAAAAGCATGCTTAATACTGTGATAATTAGAAGAATAAGTAAAGTGGACAACAAGTTTGGCTGTGAAGGTAAATACAAATCGAGGAATGTTGGCGATAATAATCCAACAATATTTTGCTTTAAATTAAGTTTCGAGGATATTTAGGGTATTTATTTGTTTACCTTATTTTCAATAGAAAGATGAAGTAATTGTTCATCTCTTAGCGGTTGTATTGGAATAAGCTTTTCTTGAATAGGCAAAGCTAAGGCTGAATGCCACCAATTTAAAAGCATTTTTATGGAAAATTTGAATTTATAAATTAAATAAAATCTTAAAAATTCTAAAATTTTCTAAATTAATTAAAAATTGGTAATTTGAAATTGGTAATTTGATTTTGGTAATTTGATTTTGGTAATTTGAAGTTTGTATTTGAATTTAAAGATTAAAAGGATGTGAATATTTCACTCATATGTACATACCGTATTTCCTCTAATGAATGCCCGGGCATTCTATTTTTCAATCACCTTCCAAAGGGGCATTCTATTAGAGGGGGCATCCCAAAGGAGAAGAGCATTCCAATAGAGGAAATACGGTATATAATTTCGAGTTATTTTAAGCTCCTAATTATGTAGCTATTCCAAAGACTCAGTAACTTGATCCATTAGAAGTTAAAAATTCTACCTGAGAAGAGTATTTAGGTTGGAAATATTTAACTAAAACAAAAGAAAATATATTTTATTATTGACTAAAATTCTGTATATGAAAGGAAGATGAAACAAAGAATTTGGGTCAACATGCCAATAAACAACAGAACAGAAGGAGGAAATTATTTAGAAACTGACAAGGTGAAGAAGAAGAAATTGCATAAAATGAAGAAAATATATTTTTGTTTTGTTATGGATATATTATTGGATAAATTAGAAGAAAATATTGCGCAAGTCAGTGGTATTGGGGCGTAAAAAAGAGGAGAAGATGGGCAGAAGAAGATTGAAAATAAATGTAGAAGATAAGAGTAAAAGAAGAATTTTGGTAATTTTAGTATCTGATTATGGGGAATTGGAAATTGGTTGCAGAATGAATTTTGTATATTTAAAGATTACCGCATAAATAAAAATTGGATTAATTTTTAATTAATTTTTAAGTTTAATTAAATTTATTTTTGATTAAAAAACAAAAATATTTCAAGAGGAGGGAGAGGAGAGGGGAAGGAGGGATGGGAAGGTGGAGGTGGAGGAATAATGTAAATTTAAAAATCCAGTATATACTAAAAGGTTTGTATGTGTAGGTAGAAGATCAACGATTAATTGAATGACTAATGACCAAAGTAGAAATTAAAATAATTAAATAAATTTGAGGATTAACAGCGAAGAAAGTTGAAATTGAATAAGTGTTTATGTCGTAAGAAATTATCAAAGCCTCTGTAACATTCGATTTTATTAGGAAATTGAAGTTAAAAATATTTTGGATTAAGTTTTTTATTTGAAATTTTCCTTTAAAAAATCCAAATTACTAACCTAATTTTTACCAAAAATTAAAAATTTTTTTTGAAATTATTATAAGCAAAAAACTTGATGGAATTAATTTAAAAATGAAAGAAAAGTAATCTTAAAACTTGACGCAGAAAAAATGAAGAAATGACGAAAAGTAAAAGAATTATGGGAAAAAATAAAGTAGGAGCGATCATGCGCAAGGATAACGCCCAAAGGCATAATTTTAAGAATTTGGTGGGTTATATATATTTTTATTTCTCTCTTTTTCTTTAATTTTGTTGCGCAAACAAACCGCCAAAGGGAAAATAATTTAGAAAAATACAAAAATATTTTTCTTTTATTTAACAGGTACTTATCCCTTATACCACACCCATCAAAGTAGTGTCCAAAATGTCATATATGGGGTAATAAAGGGTGCTGATCACGATTATGGTGTTTATTTCTCAATATAAGAACCCCCTCACCCATAAATTGTCATGGTTCATAATGGTAAAACTTCAAGTTTTTATTTAAATAAATATATAGGTATGAGCAATATTAATGCACTAATATTTATTTTGCACTTATATTTATTAATGCACTAATATTTAATATTTATTTTCTGTGTGATTATTGGTCGTTTAATGAGTATATAAACGATTTCATTCATTTGAACCCATAATAATATAAATAAATAAAAAATGCCCTATAATTACGACACACTAATGGGGGGATGTCCTGATGAATCAAACGCTTCAAAATTTTTTCAAAATTGCGGTTTGCTTCATACTGAACGTTTCTGCCATTGTGGTAGTCAAATGCGTCCAAACTTGAAGTTTTACCATTATGAACCATGACAATTTATGGGTGAGGGGGTTCTTATATTGAGAAATAAACACCATAATCGTGATCAGCACCCTTTATTACCCCATATATGACATTTTGGACACTACTTTGAGGGGGTGTGGTATAAGGGATAAGTACCATTTAACAGTTGACCATTGGAAAGTTAACGGAGAATTCGTGGGAATAAATAAATAAATATATTTTGATTAAAATATTGTTTTCTTGAAATATAAAATGTTGAAGAAAATAATGAGTAAGATAGAAAAATAATGAAAGCTTTATCTAATAAAACGAAATTATTATGACCAAGTCAATATCATGACCAAATTCCTCAATTCTACAAACTAATAGGACACAATTTACCGGAAATCTCAATTTCTAATAAATGAAAAATAGAATAGCTGCTTGAATTTGAATGGCCTCTCCAATAGAATAGCCCTTTTTAGGAGTATTGGAATAAATACGATAATTACACCCATAAAAGCAAATACAGAAAATACGCGAACATTTTAAACCAGGGTTTCGATCTCGAATTTTTAAAAATCCGCAAAATTGATCGAAAAAATCCGCATTTTATATCAAAAATCCGCAAAAAATTATCAAACCCAAAAATTGAATTAAAATCACTTTATGCATGGTATTTTTCGTCTTCTACAATTGAATTAAGCAATTTTTTTTATTACTAATGATCATCCTATGAAAATCCAACAACTATCTGAAAAATCACACTTGCATTTTTGTCGCGGAAGATGTCGCAAATTTTTATTTCTTCCATTTTCGCGCCGCAGGCGAAAATTTTTTTAATTTTGGAAGATCCTTAAGCCAAAAATCGTTCATTTTTAGGCCAGGAAAAAATTTTTGAGGATTTTGGAAGATCAAGGACACAGATTCCTTCCTTTCTTGCGCGCAGCCGAAAATTTTGATAATTTGGGAAGGCCAAGAAGCCAGATTTCTTCCATTTTCAGCGCCGCAGGCGAAAATTTTGAGGATTTTTGAGGTCTTAGCGGAAAAATAATGACATTTTATGCTAAAAACCACAAGAAAATATAAAAAATCCTCATAATCTTCAAAAGACCACAAAAATCCGCAAATCCGCATTTTTAAAAATAATCCTCATCGCCCTATCAAAAAACCACAAAATGAGGAAAAATCCGCAGATATCGAAACCCTGTTTTAAACCATGCAGCAAAATCCTCTATTCAAGATAAATCTTTATTGTAAATATACATTAACCTAAAAATTTGTAAACATAAAGTGTTAGCTAATAGGAGATAAAAAAATGAAAACATGCTTCTTGATAGACTTGGACTTTAGTTTAGATAAGTATGTACATAAGGTAAGATTATATACCTATTTTTGTTTTCTAGAACGTTAAAACGAGGTTATTTTTTAAGTAAAAATTTTTTTTGATCTTTAGGAATTTCAATTTATTTTATTTTTACTTTTTTCTAATCTTAAAATGTCAGAATTAGCAGCTGGATGAAAATGGAAAATTAAAGAAAAACGCCGGAAAATCTGGCGGGAGAAATGAAGGATATAAATAAATTGAATACTGGAAAAGGATTTTGGTGAAAAATAAAAATTTTTTGGTGAAATTGAGGAGAGAAAGTTGAGTAGAAAAGAAAATTGAAAAATAAAAAACAGGAAAATATCGTTTATATTTTGATGGAAAATGACAAAAATAAATTTTATAATTGTTTAGGTCAACGCTAAATGCCCTCAACTAAACTTTTTCTTTTAAAAAGATTTCACTTTTCTTGATCGTTGCTATTTAAAAATAAATAAATTTTATTTAAAAAGATGATTGATAGAAATAATTTAAAATGGTAGCAAATATATTTGGTTGATATTTTCAATGAGGATTTTTATTAAAATAACAATCCCCATTCTAGTGTAAATAGTGCCGGGTTTTCAGAGCAAGCCTCCTGAAAACGGTGGTTTTATCGAACATACTAGGTTCGGGCCCCCAACCCCCTATTCAAAGCTTTGGTTGGTCCGAACTTTAATTAATATTTATTCTAACTCGTATTTTATAATACAATTTTCGAATATTTTTGAAAAAATGAAAGCGCAAAATTCTTTCGAACATTAAAAATCCGCTTCGAGGTATGTTGATCCGAGGCAAACCCACATATCGATATACTATTTAGAAAAAAATTTCTCTAAAGATAGCTTAAAAAAGAGACTTAACTACGAGGTATTTTTATGCATTTATGAACTTGTAAGAAAAACTAAAATAAATTACAAAAATATATTTTTAATAATAAAAATTAATTTAAAACAAAATTTCCCCCATTTTGTGTTGTTCTCATTTTCATTTCAATTTCAAATTGGTTTTTAGGTTTAATAATACAATTTTGATTGCCATTTAGTTGTTCTGTTTTTAATAAATTAACTTCTGAGGTTATTCCAACTCTACCAAATATTGAAAAATTTGTTCGTCGTAGAAGTTGAAGAAATTGATTTGATGGGCTTTCCCTTTATTTTTTTAAATAAAATATTAAAATGACATAGAATATATTTTTTAATTTTTTATTGTGAATCAGTTATTAAAGGTTTGGACTTAAAATATAACGGAAATAGTTTTGGCATTAAATAGACCTTAGAATGCGGATATTACAATAAGAGATAAGTGCACCGCAGAGCTGTTTCGAAATTTCGATTTTCGTTTTTCGATTTTCGAAGATTTTTTTTTGTTTCGAAACACCTCTGGTGCACCCTCTCTAATTATATACTTGATTAATTTAAAAAATAATTTCATTCTTATTCCCCTATGTAGTGAAAATTCAGTAATATTCCCAAAAATACCTTAATCCTTCCTCCATTTTGCCAGGCCCATCAGAATGTATTCCACTAGCATTAGAATGATTATTTGTGTCGCTTAGACATGAATGGAATTCATCACGGGGTGTGCCAGCAGCACTTGTTTGTGTCCGCTGAACACGGCTAGCCCTATCCCGGCTAATTTCTGTGCCTTAAAATTAAAAAAAATTTTAAAAATAAATTAAAAATCTAACGAAATCCAAATGTCAAACACAATGCATTTCTAAATTTATTATTCAAAAAGCAATAAGTAATAGGATTTGTACAGGAAGATAGATATGTTAAGACGGTAATGAATGTATTTACTTCTGAATTCCAAATATTGAAAGTCTTTAAATTAATTATGTTTAAAATTGAGATTAAATAGATACTCTTCTCCATTAATATTTTTAAAAAAAAGTTACCTGAAAAGTATCTTGTGCATTAAGTAAAAGCCACCAAATATAGGAAGGTGTCCAACAACAAAAGAATATTACAACAATTACAATTAACATTCTTATTAATCTAAAAATTTAATTTAAAAAAATTATTTATCTATATTTACAATGTACCTTTGTTTTGCTAATGCCGTTCTTCCAGAATGTGTTGACCTTAATTCAGTAGTTGGATTAATTCTTTTAGTGCTGCATTCATTCCAATTACGGCCAACAGATGAATTACAAGATTTTTGTGGTCTCATTATTTTTTTCTGATTTAAATCCTTCTTTTTTACCATCCAACTAGAAACTCTTTAAAAAATATTTTTATATTTTTTTTAATTAAATAAATTTTTATTTTTTTAATACCCCTTAATAGCAGAGGTCGATCGTAAATGACGAATGTGCCAGAAATCGGAACTGTCGGAAATCGAAAATGGCTTCAAAGTCGGAACTCGGAAATCAGCCCTAATTTTCGGAAATCAGCTTAATAGCCCTCTGCTAACCTCTGCTTAATAGCCCCTTTATATTTTTTAAATTAAAAAATAATTAACTAGCCTTCCCCTTTTTACATTTTCTCTATTTATCGTAAAATTATTAATTACACCATTACGAAAATTCTTTCGTTTTTCTAGACAAGAATCATTAGAATTCATTAAGGGAGTTGCATTACTACTACCTTAAATTTAAATAACTATTTAAAAATCAAATAATAATATTTACTTTCTGTACCCGAAATAGCAGCAATATCCATTCTTATACCCGAACTAAGAGTATATATTACATTGCCATATCTTTTTTTAAATTAAAAATTAATAATTTTGCAATTATTAAAAACATACAAAACAGTCATGGCAACAAGGGGAACAATTAGAAGGGCTATAGTCATGTAAATTTGATACCCAAAATGAACAATAGGTTCAAATTTTGGGGCACAATTAAGTCCATTAAAATTATAACTTCGTTCTTCATACATAAAAAGCATAAAAACATTGGCAATAACTGAGACTAACCTACAAAATTATTTTAAATTTTTACTTGAAAATTAGAGGAAAGATGAAATATTATTTTGTAACTAAGAATACAGAATTTATTTAAAATTAATTTAAAATTAGTTTTTGATTACTTAACATTTCTATAAATAAATAAATTAATAAAAGAATATTTTCATTACCAAACTAAACTAATCACAAACATTGCATGAGTTCTTGTATGCCATATTCTTGAATGTAAAGGTCGACATATTGCATAATATCGCTCTAAAGCAATTGCTGCGAGTGTATAAGCAGAGGCTGAAAGTAATTGGGGGATAGGACTAGAAACTGGATTGGAACACAATCCCCTTTCCCGTCCCTCCCAGATGAACCTTTATCTGGAATTCCCCGATTTTCAATGAATCAGCTTCTGGTGAAAAAATAAAAGACTCATCAACTATAAGAAGCCCGGAAAAAGCAAGAAATGGATATAAATAAGTAGGATGTTCCCAAACTTTAAAGTCTCCAATATTCAATTACAAACAAAAAAGTTGTTCCCGAGTTTAATAATCTTGACTTGTTTATGAATAATAACAAATTTAAAATACCTGTCACAACGACGGCTGAAAATAATTAATAAAATAGATATTAAATTAATAAATTTTAAATTATTTTTCCATTTTATTTGAAAATAAAATATCCAAAAATTATTGTGTTTTAACGTTTATTTAAAAATTAAAATTACTTACGTTGAAGATATGCCAAAAGTTTACACAATAAATCACCAAATACCCAACAATAAACTAACGAACTAACTAATGTTGGGGGCATACAAACAACACTTAATAATAAATCACTAAGTGCCAAATTTAGTAAATACAAATTAGTTACAGAACGCATAGATTGTTGCTATTTAGAGGAAAATTAATTTTAATATTTAAATTTTATATTTGGTAGCGAAAAATAAAATAAAAGCAAAATTTTTAATTTGTTTTTATTAGAATAAAGAAAATTACCTGTAATATAACAACAACAACAATAGAATTCCCAACAACAGAAAGACAAAAAATAATAGCAAATGTCAAAATCATCAAATAATTTTCTAAATTTGGGTGGAAGACACAATCCTAAATAAATTTTTTAAATCAAATATTAATTAGATAACAATAATATTTTTTAAAGTTTTGAAGAGTTAATTTAAAAAAAAGGAATTTTAGTACTATATGGCCCGCCTAAGATTTTTTAATTTTATAAGGTTCTAGTGAATAAATAAATTTTAAACTATTACCAAATATTATAAATGTAATTCAAAGCAAAAATTCCAAAAAAATTTTTTTATTAAATAACATTAGAACCTTATAAAATTTAAAAATCTTAGGAGGGTGTACACAAAGTACCTATTTATTTTTCATAAATTTATTTTATGTACATTACTAAAAAATTTTTCTTCTTCTCCCAATCCCTCCCAACCTACATTTTTTTCTAATTGAAAATTATTTTCAAAAAATAATTGTTGTTGTTGTTGTTTATCTTCAATATCTTCTAAAATATTTTTAGTTAAAGAAGAATAATCTTCTTCTTCAAAAGAAAATATTGTTTCATTCATTATTTGTTGGCTTTTATTATTTAAAATTAAAGGGAAGGAAGAATTGTTAAATAGTAAATGTTGTAATTTTGGAAAAGAAATAATGGGTTGTTAGATAAATAATGAGCCCTTTTCGCATTTTACTTCTTTATTTATGTATAGGTATTCGAATTTTAGTTTAAATTATTTTACATTTACTAGAGTCGATAGTTCACGCTTTTTTCTACTATATAAAACCATTTAAGAAATTAATTTTGATTTTTGAAGTTTTTTAAAAATTTTTTAAAATTATGTCCTCAAAATCTGAAATTCGGACTGTTGTCTTGTATTGCTTCTAACGCGGTCTAAGTTCAACTCAAGCCAAAAAAGAAAATGCCGCCTTGAAGGGCACGAGTTGGGCATCTTTTGCAATAATTAAGCGATGTTACAAAAAATTCCGTGATCGAGATATGAGCCTAGATGCCAAAAACCCCAAATTTATCCCAAATTTCGGATTGTACACTGGGAATTAACTCCTAAGGGCAAAGGATTGACGGGCGAACTCTACAGGGCAATATTGGACAGAGTTCAGATTGCCTTTGATGGTTTCACTGCTCGTGCGGCTCGTTATGGTCAAGTTGTCTTTCAACAGGAAAATGCATGCCCGGTTCGCGCGAACGGAACTCGATCCCACATTACGGAGACACTCGGATGACAACTTTTATTTGATCCGCCTTATTCTACGGATATTGCGCCGTCTGATTACCACTTATTCCTTTCGATAAAAAATCATTTCCGAGATGTGAGGTTCCAAAATGATACTCAACTCCCAAAGTGGGTTGCCGAACTTCTTGAAACCAAATCTGCCATTAGATTTTATCAAAGGGGAATTAAAAAACCGCCCAGAAAGTGGCAAGATGTGGGAGATAATAATGGGCATTGTATTGTTTCTTAATTCCATTTCATTATTTAGTTATAGTAAATTGTTTTATTTATGCGCAAAGGGCTCATTATTTATCTAACAACCCATTATTATTATTTAAATTAATTAAAGAAGTTGAAGAAGAATTTAAATAAGTAAAGGAAGAAGAAGAGGAAGAAGAAGAAGATCCATTTGCGCTATCAGGCAAAACTAATAAATTTAAAATATTTATTGCTGTATTTGTTAGTAATTCTTTTGCCATTTTATTTTAAATTTAAAAGAAAAGATCTAAATATATCCTTTATTTTTTAAGAAAAAAAAGTTTTTTTTAAATAATTGGATAAATAAATAAATTAAATTAAGTTAAAAATAAAAAAAAAGATTTTATAAGAAATTTTTATTGGAATATTCTTTATTAAAATCTGTTTTTAAATTGTATTATAAATGTACCAAATAAATTTATATATTAATTTATTTAGAATTTTAATAATTAAAAATAAATTAGAATAACACAAGTTTTTAACAGACTAGGACACGGATACTGATCTTGGTATCCGTATCCGGATATTTACGGCGGATACAGACGGATATCCGCAGGCATTTTGGTATTATCTGTATCCGTATCCATGACCATGTCTGGTTTTTAATATTTTTTTAATCTTTGATTTTTTTAAAGGGGGACTTAGTAATAGAACGTCTCTAGCAGGAATGGGATGGATTGAGAAAAAAAGTTGGGTTCAGGGTATTCCTCCTTCACTCTGTTGCTAGTCACAGGACTTAAAGTTCAATAATCATTCAAGATGGATATCCCGAATAATTTTAATTCCGATAACTGAAATTTTAGAATGAATTTAAATTAAAAATATTTGTTTCAACACAAAATTAAAGACAAAATTAATTGGTATATATATAAAATCAATCCAAAAAAACTTTGATGATTATTTTAAAGTAAAAGAGAAAAGTGATTTAATTTGTTAATTATTGGTGAAAATATTTAGGAAACAGCTGCTCCACAAAAAGATTAGGGCAAATTGATTTTAACGTGATTTATTGTAAAGAAAAAAAAGGAAAATTAAATAATTAAATATTCGAGAATTGTTTAAATTAATTTAAATTGTGAAAATAAAATATAAGACTATTAGCAAAAAATGTCTGAAAAGTCATTACTAAAAATATTCATTTAATTTATTTAAACTAAAAAAGTTTAAAAAATAAAAACAATAGGAAATAAAAATACGAAAATCACAAATAAATTTAATTTTTAACAAATATAAAAGTAGTCACAAGGTTTAAATAAAAAAAACAACTAAAGAAAGCAATGCTTTAAAATCAACGAATTTTTTATTTTTGGATTTAAAAATAAATTTATTTAAATTTTTGGACAGAATTTATATAAAATAATTTTTAGTTTTTATAAAAATACTTGATAATTTATTTGTTCTTAATTTTATTTCTGTTATAATTGATAGCAGGGATGGATAATTTTGAATTTTAAAAAGCGGAAGACTGAAGGCGGAAAAAATCCATCCCTGATTGATGGCCTTTTAAAAATTATTTTTAATTTATTTGAAGAATTCCCATTTTGGATTTCATGCAAAAATATTAATTCTTTATTTTAAGTTATACTATCAATATTTATTTATTTTCTAATTTAATTTTTATTAAAATTTAAATAATTCAAGTTTTGAATGTTAAAAGGGCATTTTTGTTTGTGTAGAAAATAAGCGTTGGCGTTTACTTTTTTTTCTTTTTGCTGTTTCCTCGTACTTACTTGGCGCTAAAAAGTAAAGAGGAAGAAGAAAAATATATAAAAATTTAATATATAATACATTAAAAATAAA